AACACCGCCGTGTAATGCCCCGCCCGTGTTTCGCCCCCCCCCCCCCCTATAAAAATCGATTTTTTCAGCCCCCAACCAAGATCAGCCATTTTTTTCAAAAATCCCCAACCCCCCCACCGGAAAATCGCCCCCTTCACCTTCCCCCTCGATTTTCCGGCCATAACTTCCTCTCCCGACCTCCAAATCACAAACCGTGACTGCCCCCACGCTCCTGGCGTCGAGGAGCACATTCCCCAAAGATTTGGGCTGGTTTGGCTGAGGTTGGGTCGCCGGCGGTTAGTTTTCCGGCGAGTCTCCGGTGTGTTTTCCGGCGACTTTGGGTGCCTCTTTCCACTTTCTTCACCTCTCTTGTGGTCTCTTCTTGAGTCTCCAGGTGTGTTCTCCTTGTCTTTTCTTATATTTTTGGAGAATCGAAACCTAGAGTTAGGTGAAGAACTTTTGATGGTGGAATGCATGGTTTGGGAATATTTTCGGTTTGGGGGATGATTGGGCTGATTGCATGTTGAATGGCCTGCGTGATATGTGATTTTTCTGTGATGCCTCGATTGGTGCTATTTCGGGCAGTTGTGGTATGCTTGTTTCACCGGGGGCCTAGTCCACTGTCCAAATCGCTCGATTTGAGGGTCCCCGGTGTATTTTGCTGGTATTTCTCGTATGATGGGTCTGTTTGTGTCGCCGAGAGTCTAGTCCGCTGTCCATATCTTTCGATATGAGGGCTCTCGGTGTGGTTTTGGCCTAACATTGACCCCGTTTGCTTGTTCACACTTTGTCCTTCATTTTGTTTTGCAGGATCATGGAGGTTTTTCTCGACCAGCTGAACATCGTCCAGCGCCACAAGCTGCGGAACCTCCGTACCCGCAGCATCGCTGAGCACCATCACCTCAATTGGGAGGTGTTCGAAGAGCTTCATGCCAGGCCACAGATGGAGGCCGCGGTCCGCTCCCCTGCTTGGCGGCGTCTTCTCACCCTTGCCGAGCCGACCTACAAGGAGCTAATCTTGGAGTTCTACGCCACCTTCAACCACAACTCGAGGGGGAACTCCGACCATTCTGATGCAGTCCAGTTCACACTCGGCGGGGTGGAGCAATCCCTCAGCTACTGGGAGTTCGCCAATGCCCTTCGTCTAAATTCCCGGACAGCAGGCGGGCCTCCTCTCCGCTTGGATCTCTCTGATCCCACGGACTTCGCTTCCCAGGCGTACTTCCAGACCATTTGCCTGCCGAACAGTGTGGATGAAGAGTATGTGGCCAGCCAGACGCGGGCTGCTCTCCTCCGTCCGGAGTGGCGGATCCTCAACCACCTGATGTGCACTTCTTACACACCCAACGCCGGCTCGTCCAACCGGGTCACACTCCGGACTCTCTGGTTGATGCATGCGATGGGTCGCTCCGAGGACACCATCCAGCTGGGATCTGTGCTTGCCCGGACGTTCACTAAGCCAGCCATCAGCACGTCTCGCGCCCTCGTTTGTGGCCCGGTGATCACTGCCTTGGCCCGCAACTACGGGGTGGACTACACAGGGATGACATTGGTCCGCGGGCCGAGCCCACTCAGCGAGGCTAATCTTCGCCACCAGCACTTGATTGCGCACCACGGGCGTGTGCGCTGGATCGAGGGCCTTCCTCAACCACCTATACCTGCAGAGGGCGACCAGGCCGAGTCGAGCGCCGCTGGTGGACGCCGAGTTCCACGTCGCGTTCCTCGTCGTGCCCAGGCTCCCACGAGCCCCTCTCCTGCCCCCCGGTCTCCATCTGCAGGACCACCTCCTCTGGTGGTGGTCCCCATCTCCGACCAGTTGGCGGCGATCTCGCAGCAGAATGAGCGCATCCTGGCCGGCCAGGAGCGCATCCACGCCCGCCTTGATCGTGAGCGGGACCGAGGGCGTCGTCTCATGTCGGGGCAGCACTACATCATGTCCTACTTGGGCTTGGACCCGAACGCGGTCCACTACCCGTTCGTGCAGTCCCCAGGGTTCGAGGATGAGTACCCTCCACCCACCGGCGATGGTGGTGATGCCTTCTAGAGCGGGTTTTGTGTTTTATCTGTTTTCCAGACTGAGACTCCGTGTTTTGTGATTTCGTTTTGATTTGTTTTTATCTTGGATTGTAGACTTGGTACTCTGACTCCTAGCACCCAGTGTGTGTTTTGTTGCCTCTAGCTCTGTGCCCCTTCTTTTAACTGGTCCGCCATCCAGTCAACGTTCCTTACCACTGTTTCACGGTAGCATCGTTCCCCTTCCCTCTGCTCCATTGAGGACATTTTTGCGTTTAAGTGTGGGGGGGGGGGGTTCTTTGTATGAATTGGAACATATATATGTGTGCTTGGAGCCTAGTCCATTGTCCAAATCTTGAGATTTGAGGGCTCCAAGCACGGCTGTTTGCTTGATGATTGATCGTATTGGCACTGTGGATGTGATTAGTGAACTGAATGGCCTTTGACTTGATACATGACAACTGGAGTGTGACTTAGACAACTTATTGTGATGACTGAGATGTGCAGTAGAATTGTGTAGGGGTTCAGTTTTTCAACTGTCTGCTCACCAAATGTGACTTGGTTTGATCACTTGCTTTTGACAGTCATTTTTGCATCTAGTTCAGGGAATCAGAACGAGCGATAGAGCATATAGGTAGCCATGTGAGATTTGAGCCTACTCGTTTCTTTCTTGTGCGATAGTTTCCTCTTCCATGATGTGCAGCATTCACGTTGTCATTAGCTAAAATGATGGAGGCATAGGATTAACCCACGACCAAATTGACTGTCCTGGTGTGTCATACTCCTAGTCAGCCCCTTTGAGCCGTGTGTTTTCTTTCTTTCGGTCTTCAATGAAAAGTCACCCTTTTGCATCTTTTAGAAGGTCCCACAGAGTGATTTTTACATGTGCTCTGCTATTTCTGCTAAATGTAATGTGAGGGTTGGAGGTAGTGCTTAAAAGTTGGGCAGGTGTTTGAAAATGTACAGAGGCGGTGGTTCTCTTAAGAAATGGAAAATAATGAAAGAAAATCAAAGAAAAAAAAATGAAAGCAAAAGAGAGCCACCACCAAAAATCTGAATAATGCCCATGTAGTAGTGTTTCTTAGCAGTCTGGCTTAGAAATACTAGCATTTATGTAACCTCCTTCGCTCTTGTGCTTTGAACTTGAGTAATGCAGAATAGCAGAAAGAAAGTTATTGGTTCGATTGATTGTGAATCTGTTGGGTTTGGAAATGTGGAACCTTGTGTTGTATGAATACTTCCACCACCTAAATGGCCTTTTCCCCATGTCCAAGACCCTAGCCAGTCATCTGAACCTGTGTCTAAGACCTCCGGATTAGTTAGTGATGACACCCCATATGTGAACTCTAACACCTAGAGGCTGCATTCATGATGAAGAGATGATAGGGATTGAGAGATTAAGCATGCGCATTTTTCGCATCATATTGTCCTGACCCCACTGGTCGAGAGTGAGCGATTCATTTTCTCTTATTCTCCATACTCTTTATCCCGGTGAGGACCTAGATTGTTCGGTCTTACTTCTGATATCTTGAACTTTGTGCATGGTGTGACTGTTTTGAACAAGTGGTTGAGTCAAGTCTATGTTGGTTGGTGAACAGAAGGGAGACTCTTCCTTTGCTCGATTTTACTGCATTCGAATGTCATCTGTGGTGGTTGTCGAGGTTGTCATTGAAGTTGTCCATGTGTTAATGATCGAAAGCCAGTATGATCCACGTGTTTTGTGCCGATATGTCATGCCTTGTTGTTGAGCTTACCTTGTGTCTGACTTGGTTTGCTTGGGGACAAGCAAACGGTTAAGTGTGGGGGAATTTGATAACGATGTAATTGCATGTATTTGCGCCCCTAATTCTTATCCGTTTGAGAGGCATAGTCGTGTATTTTGGCCTATTTTACGCCGGGTTGTGCTATTTTGTCATATTTCAGGTCCCAAGCGTCAAAGGAAAGGCTAAGCACGAGTTTCGGGGCGTTCGGAGGTCATTTCGTCAAGCTGGAGCCAAAACACGGGCAGACCTAAAACAGAACACGGCCATGTTCTGTGGCCGTGCTTTTACTGCCGAGAGCTAATTCGATTTGGGCAAACATTGGCTAAAAACACGGGCAGAAGCACGGCCGTGCCCACCACCAAACACGCCCGTGTTTCGCCCAATGCACAGGCCGTGTAATTAACCCTAGCCAAAACATGGGCGGGCTGAGGCATTACACGGTCGTGCCCTCGACCGTGTTTTGGCCACTGATGCCTTTTTAAGCAGATTTTCAGCCAAAGAGTGGGGGATTCGAGTTTTTGAGAGAGAGAACGATTCCTAGAGAGAGAAAGCGACGAACAAGAGTCTCCAAGTGCCCTAGCTTGATCTTCAACACCATTGGAGGCCAATTTGAGCTTGGAGAAGTGCCGATCAACGTCTAGGAGCAGGAATCCATCCTTCACAGTATGAATTCCGCGTCTGATTCTGCTTTTGCCTCTTTCTCCATGGAGTAGTTCTCCCATTCATCTGGGTATGGAGAACCCTAGATTTGTATGTTAGGCTTTGATTGTATGAACCCAAGTACTGATTCTATGATTTGATTATGTTCGATTGAGGTTTGAATGATTGAATGACTTGAATCCTGATCAAATTCCTGTTGTTTCTGCTTTAACCTAGAATGAGAATATCTGCCTAGGTTGATAGAGCATCCTTGATTGAACGTAGGGAGTTGGTGACTTTAGTCGAGGAGCCAACTCACTATTCTGTACCGGATTCACTCCGGTAGTGGAGGTTTTGTTTGTTAAGGCCTCAATCTGTTTACTCCGGTGGAGGTTAGTCGCCCGCTAGAGACTCAGATTGAGAGGGTCTGAAGACCTTTAGTCGAGACTTCAGGCTGTTTAAGAACCTTCCGCAGTATAACTATCATAAAAACTGAACTTGGTAATTACAATCCGGCTTAACTGCAGTCTAGGGGGAACCATATCCGGGTGACCTCGCTTAACCTGAATATAACAGTTTACTTGCTTTGTTAGTTTGATAGTTTAGACTTGCATTCCAGTTTCATTGCTAGATAACAAGAATTCACTTAGTAGTCATCAGATCTAGGACCCGGGTTGACATATAAACCTAACCCGCTATACTACGCTTTAGGAAGTGGTTTCACTTGGCCAATTCCTAGGGTGACAGTAGAAGTGAGTCAAGTAGCTTGGAATCTCTTAAGCTGACCAAGCCCTCTCAGTCTAACTACCCGGCAGACGACTAGTCTTCACCGGGATAGAAAGCTAAAGCAGTAAGAAATGAACTCCACATCTCGAATTGGATTCCAGTACAAAGCAGTAAACTGGCTAACTCTCGTATAGCCAATCTCCTACTACCTAATGATGAGACTCTAGCAACCTAATCAGATTCTATCTATCTCAGATTGCAGCAGGAATCAGGAAAAGTTGATCAGACTTCAATTGACTCAATAAACATGCATCATTCGATTAAAATCAAACAGTAATATCATCCCAAGTCATTACAATCAATCCCTAACACATAGAACTAGGGTTCTTCATCCCCAAGTGAGAGAGAGGTTCTACTCCATAGAGAGAGAGAGGAAAACAAGATACAAAGCATTCATACTCATAATTATGGGAAAAATCTGCTCTGGGATGATGATTTCCACTCCTATGACGATCTCAAAGCTTGATTTGATGAAACCCAGCTCCAAGATAGCTTCTAGGATGTGTTCTTCGTCCTTTCTCTCTCTAGGGCTCTGTTTTTGCTCAAGAAATCCCATTCCCCTTCTCTTTGGCTGAAAATCTGCTTAAAAGGGCATCAGTGGCCAAAGCACGGTCGAGGGCACGGCCGTGTAATGCCTCAGCCCGCCCGTGCTTTGGCTAGGGTTAATTACACGGCCAGTGCATTGGGCGAAACACGGGCGTGTTTGATGATGGACACGACCGTGCTTTGGTGGCCACGACCGTGCTTTGTCTAAGCCCTGCCCGTGTTTTTAGCCAATGTTTGCCAAACTCGAATTTGCTCTCGGCAGTAAAAGCACAGCCACAAAACACTGCCGTGTTCTGTTTTAGGTCTGCCCGTATTTTGGCTCCAGCTCGACGAAATGACTTCCAAATGCCCCAAAACTCGTGGTTAGCCTTTCCTTTGACACCTGGGACTTGAAATATGATAAAATAGCACAACCCGGCGTAAAATAGGCAAAAACACACGACTATGCCCCTCAAACGGATAAGAACTAGGGGCGCAAATATGTGCAATTACATCGTTATCACTTTCGTTAGTTTCCGTTAACACCATCAGTTATTTACTGATGTGGCTAACAGAAATGCTGATTCATCCAATTTAAATTAAAAAAAATAAAACCTGACTGGTATAATCAGCAAAATCCACTACATTAGATACCCACCCCACCCCAACCCGTGACCCAACTCTTCCTTTATTTGACCCAACCAAAATACAAACCCTAAAAGCTCAATCATAAATTGCCGCCGTGCGGACTCACTATGTCCATATTTTCCATTCAAGAAGAATCTCACGCACAAATCCCTATCTGAGCTCGCCCTCACCACCGCTAGCTCCTCCTCCAAGTCCAACATCGTCGCCTCCAGCTCCTCCTCCAAACCCAAATCCCTCTCTAAGCTCGCCCTCATTGCCGTTTACCACGAGGTCACCAACCATTCCCCGACTCTGTCCAGTCCAACATCAGCCTCCTGCAAGTCTGAATGCCTCTCCGAGCTTGCCCTCACCTCCGCCATCCCCAGCATATCTGGACGGTGTTGGACAAGGGTGGGCTTGGTCCAGTTTCCAACGACGAATCCACTGTTGCTAGGCGGCCCAAGGACGGGGAAGATGGAGAGGATTGAGGCGGCGACACCATTGACAAAGTAAGGGTTGGAGGCACCGTACCGCTTCCAATTAATTTGGCTCAGTTTCCATTTTTTCAATTTCATGGGGTTTAATCCATTTTTGGTTTGGATGCTTTGTTTGGTTTATGGAGAAATGGATGAAACTTGTTTTTTCCATGTAATTGATGCTGGGAAGCATAATATTTCTTGTTTAGTGAGGTTTGGATGCTTCGTTTGAAGATAGCGCTCTGTCGTTACTCAGTCAGATTATAGAGGGGAGTGGGATCGATGATGAGGGAAGAATTGGTAGCTGGCCAGATTCGTTAGCTGCATTGACGTAGGAGAGTCTGAAAACAGAGGATGAATCAAGGTAGATCAGCGGCAGCCCGTGGCGGAGATGTTGCTGCTCCCGCTGGTGATCTTTCTGTTGAAGGAAGAAGAATAGGAGATGGAAACTGACAAATTGGACGAGGGCGGCGACAATAGCTTCTTCCGGTCCTCTTCTCCATCGACTGCCGAGGGATTTTGAAGACTGGTTAATCTTGGGTTGGATCGGATCATGGATTAATGAGCCGGGTCACATTGGTTAGATTTTTATGATGTGGCAGGTTTTCTATGACCTGGCAGGATTGGATTTTATTTTATTTTGTCAAAAATAGGTGACTAGATGAACCGGTTAGCCACATCAGCAAATAATTGACGGTGTTAACAGAAACTGACGGAAGGTAACGGACAGTGACCAAACCTGAACCATTTAACTAATTTGAGTGACCAGGAATGGATTTAAATATTTCTAGTGACCAAACTTGAACGTTTTTTGTAATCTCACTAACCAACCATGCAATTAACCCATTTCTAAAATGAAGAAATTTGTTTTATTAAATAAGTGAGGAACAATTTGGTCATTTTAGGTCCCCTTTAAAGGTCCACATGAGATATTAGATGGAATGATACGATGTTATATTTAATAATATAGGGATACACTTGTGGAGAAAAATAACAGAGAGGTATATTTTAATTTGTTAATTTGCAATGGTACTTAGATATTAAAATTTGATAAATTGCAAGTTTGGCCACTACAATTACTAAATTGTTTAGCGTTCGTCACTAAAAATATTTTATTTCATTTGTAGTTACTGAAATTAGTTCAACGGTTCAAGTTCGGATTGCTCAAATAGGTATCAGAAGTGCCTAATTAGCTAGTCGGTGGTAATAGAAGTTGGGTTGAGGTATCTTATGTGTTGGGTTTTAATGATATGGCGAGTCGGGTTAACATTGGCTGATTACACACATCTGTTAGCCACGTCATAAAAAAAGCTGGCGTCATTAACGAAGACCAAACTTGGATTGTTGAACTAATTTCAGTGATCAAAATGAAAATTAAATATTTTTAATTACAAAAGTGAAACTATTTCGTAATCCCAATAACCAAACTTGCAATACCTATAAATATTACATTCATAATAGTTGAGTATTTGAAATCTCATCTTAAAATACATATTCAGAACCAAATTTTTTGAATATTAGTCGCATTGTAGTAACTCGACATTCATATAATGCACAACTGTACCCCTCTTTCCCCGGGCTAAGATCAGGTGACTAAGGGGGGCCGCTTAGTCACATGACTAAGTGAATCTCAGCCCTTGCACCTCATTAAAATCCAATGACTCAGATTAATCTAATTTGATGAAGGGAAATGTAGTAATTGCATAACTTTATTAATTTTCAATTATTAATTAATTAAAAAAACTGTATTGTCTGCGCATCTCTCCTCAGGCTGGGATTTCCCGGTGTCTCCCGTATGTTTTGTTATGTTTGTCGGACTATTTTGTAATGTTTGTAAGTCTCTTTTGTGATTTGGCATCAATTCGGTTTGTATCGCTTATCATTTTTATCTATTATGTTTGTAATGTTTATATGACTAATTTGTAATGTTTGTTTGTCTAGTTTGTATACTTTATGTTGTGATTTGTATACTTTGTATTCATTGATTTGTAATAGAAGTTTACTGTTTTATATTGTAAGTAGTGACATTTTGTACTGTTAGTAAGTTTTGTAATGTTTGTCGGTCTAGTTTGTATGTTTCGTATTGTTTGTAAATACATTTGTACGTTTTGTCGCTCTAGTTTGTATTGTTCGTATGTTTATACTGTTTGTAAGTCTGATTTGTATACCGTCATATTGATGTGTCCAAATCTGAACACTTGACTAAACACCTCCCAAATCACCAGATCTCCTTCCTCTTTCCCCCTCCTTTTGCACGTGTGAAATTGGTCTCATTAGATTGAAAAAGAAGAAGGAATATTGGGTGCTTACATACAATAGTACTACACCCCTTGGACATGAAAATGAACGACAATTATATAATATTCTCAATGACCACCGCAAGTTTCCACGCTGAAACACCCATACCATCACTACTTTGCATTTATGTATATACGATATGTTGTAGAAATTCCAATCGGTGAACAAGCTCTTGAGAAGAGAAACACGATGATTTTAATGAAGGAGCTGTGTTTTCAACATTACCCACGATAACTCTTGCCTTTGGGGTTCTAATTAAGACCAAACTCATGATGAAAACGTATGGGCTGTGGCGTGTTAGGCAGGCGGTGTACTAATTTCTGTGGCTTCGAATCGAATCATTATCTCAGATTCACAGCTCCCTAAAACAAAAGAGCCACAGCTAAACATATTTTCTGTTTTGTCGGAACTTCAATCATCATGGGTTCGAGTTCTACGGGAAGCCCCAATAGAGATAAGAAATTGTTGAAGAACATCAAGAGAATCATATGATCATGGTTTATGCCATGGAGGCGAGGATTCGGCAGGCGACTTATTTAATTAGAGGCAAAGATAGGCAGTGAAGAAAGTAAAGCCGAGTAAGAGATTGTTACCGGATGGAAGTTAGCTAGGGCTTCAAATTCAATCAAAGGGGTGAAAATGGTCTTCTAACGTACGTAACCAGGTTGATTGCAGGAGTCGATGGATGGACAAGATTGGCCTTTTCGTTTTCTTCATAACTTTGGACTTTAGTTTGATAACCCAAAGAAAACAAGGCCGGAGTTAGAGGAAAAAATCCCATAATACACTAATTATTAAAAAAAATTCCCAAAATACAGTACTTATAAAATTATTTCCCAAAATACAGCAGTTTGGTTATCACCGCTGCAAACCAAGACAGTGAAAGCAATCACCATTTTTTACCAAAACGGTGATAGCATCATCGCTTTGGACCAAAACAGTGATGCTATCACTGTCTTGGACAAAAGCGATGAACCCTTCACCGTTTTGGACCAAAACGGTGATTGCATCACTGTCTTGGTTGAAAACGGTGAAACTCGACCTTATTACCGCTGATCTGTAAAGCGATGATATCATCGCTGATGTGTAAAGCGATGATAATTGACACGTTTTACCGGCCTGGTAGGTGGAAATTAGGTCACAGCTACCAAGCAATCACCGTTGAGGACTATGGCGGTGAACACATCACTGTTTTTGTCCAAGGCGGTGATTGCAAAAAAAAAATTCTATAAATACTGACCTCCACTTCCCCTATTGCTACTTTACAGAAAATTAGTACAAAAATTAGTGTTTTATTAGTCGTGTTCTCAGCTGGTTTGGAGTTGGTTTACTGCTCAAGAAACTCGTCGGGATTCGGTATGTTATAATTATGTAATGTTTACATGTTGATGTGTTAGTAATTTATATGTCTGTATTTAGTGAATTGCGGTTATTGGAAAATATGTTATGATATATTTAGATTAATTATGATATGATAGATGTTAGTTAATTAGTTATGAATTTAGATGAATTTGATTAGTTTTCTCATGATAGATCGGGAGTCGGTATGTTATAATTATGTATTGTTTACATGTTGATGTGTTAGTAATTATATGTCTGTATTTAGTGAATTGCGGTTATTGGAAAATATATTATGATATATTTAGATTAATTATGATATGATAGTAGTGAATTAGTTATGAATTTAGATGAATTTGTTTAGTTTTCTCATGATAGATCAATTACATGCGTTTGTTTATGGGTTTGGATGATATTGTTTTTGTATCCCTAATGTACTAATTATATACTATACTTAATTATTATAAATTGCATACATGGTTAAATTTAAGAAGTTTCGGCTTATTATTCGGTGGAATGGTCGGGTGACAAACTCGAACATTGGCATTGACTATGAAAATGGCGAATCCACTATGCTAAAAATTGAGTCGAGATTCTCGTGGCAAGAACTTCATGACATTTGTGCAGAAAGGACTTGTACGGGAGGGCAAAGGAGAGTTGGTCAAATTGCCTACCGCTATCCAAACATGAGTTCTGGCGGAGTTGTGTACGAAAAAGTTGTCATAAACGATGATGACTCGGTGAACATGATGATACAGTTCCTATCTGACAACGGGTTGCGGCTTGCAGAGGTGTATGTCGAGACCGAGCCAGTCGGTGAAACTCATTCTCACCAGTATTCTTGTGATGATAGTTTTGCAGGAGGGTATGGCTGGGGTGGTAGTTCAAGTAACTACGAAGGAGGTACTTTTGCAGGAGGGTATGGTTGGGGTGGTACTTCAAGCAACTACGGAGGAGGTAGTTATGAAGGAGGTGGTGGTTGGGAAGAATACGTGCAACCAACTGAGACGGCCGTCAATATCGTTCAGCCCGACGGTGATCAATGGCCTGCTTGGGGTCCAAAGTGGGCTGACATTGGGAACCTTCGATCTGGGCGTTCTTCGCATGACCAACAAGACGATGTTGGTTATGCTGGCAACGATGACCATCCTGAGTCGAGCTATCCATTCGCCTCTAGTGACGATGAAAGTGAGGAAGATTTGAGATCAGTCAGTGAGGAGGAAGATACGGACGATATCGATGACAGAGAGGTGGCGTTCCGTCAGGCACCAACACCTTACTACACAGAGGTTCCTGATCAATTTTTATATGGTCAGAACGATGCCCCTGACTATCGGCCCATGCCTGTGTATAATCCGACTACTCCTTTGGAAGTGGGTATGGCGTTCACTTCGAAAGCCGATGTGCAAGATGCTTTTAGCGAAGAAGCCATGCGCCGTAACTTCGAATGGAAGGTAAAATATTCTGACACCAAACAATTGCATGTCATTTGTAAGAATGCTGGAGAGGGTTGTGAGTGGCAACTTCGGGCTGCATATATGAAGAGAAAGGGCGTCTGGGTCATGCGAACAGTAGAGAACAACCACAGATGCTCCTCAACCATACTTTCACATGATCACCGGCAACTGAAAGCAAAAAAGGTGGCGAGAACCATTAAGCACCTAATCGAGGCACAACCGGATATCAAGATAAAAGCTATTATGGCCGAGGTGAAGGATCGACATTCCTACACCATAAGGTATAAGAAGGCGTGGCATGGGAAGCAGAAGGCCATGGTTGAGGTCTACGGTGATTGGGATGACTCGTATGCTTTACTCCCTCGACTAATGTCCGCAATGGAGGAGTCCAACCCTGGGACGGTATTCGTGCCGTGGTACAACAACGTGCAAACTGAAGATCAAGTTCGTGTACAGAACGAGTTGATGTTTCATCGTCTGTTCTGGACATTCAAACCATGCATTGACGGGTTTCCCTTCTGCATGCCAGTGATTCAGGTATATTACGGACTCAAAATATTGTACTAGTTCATTACCTTACTAAGTTAAATTTTTAGTAACTAATTATTCATTTTTAACAGGTTGATGGAACTTTCCTTACTGGGAAGTATAAAGGAACTCTTCTCATTGCAACTGGGGTTGATGGAAATTTAAGTATTTTCCCCTTAGCATTTGCATTAGTTGAAGGGGAGAACAACTTAAGTTGGGCATGGTTCTTTGACCAGCTACACGCCCATGTCACACAAAGAATGGGTATTACAATTATATCGGATCGACATGCCGGGATTAAACACGCCGTCAATGGTTTTCCCGACGAATGGGGATGGACATGGCGCTGGTGTATTCGTCACTTCCTTGCCATTTTCCAACACAAATTTGGCAAGAAGAAAGACATAAGAGATCAATTGTGGAGTGCTGGTGGTCGTTTGTATTTGCTCCGATCCACCTAATTAAGCAAAAGTAAGTATATAAGCAATTTTTATGGCATAGATGTTTACTTGTTAAGTATGATTGTATGGAATCATCTAAATTGAACTAAAATTCCTTACTTGGCAATAATCTAAATTAGCTAAATAGGATTTGGTTAGAAAAATAAAAAATTTGCTAACTTGGAAGATATCTAAATTCACTAAATACTATAATTGCAGACCTAAAATGTCACTTAATTTCCTTACTTGAAAGATATCTAAGTTCACTAAAATTCACTAAATTCGCTTACTTGGAATAGATCTAAATTCACTAAAATTCACTAAATTCGCTTACTTGGAATAGATCTAAATTCACTAAAATACTACCATTGCATATCTAAAATAAATTAAACTTAAATTAAACTTACTTGAAACCATATGGGGGATTTGCTACAAATCGTAGCTCATCGTCTGGCAACTAGAATTCCCGAGGGTCTCGAGGTGTTAAAAATGGAAGATGCTCCCATGCCCAGAGTTGGAGTATGAACATCGCACCACCAGCTTGTTTCGCTCCCAACCTCGAGCAAGTACACAACTCTCGGTAGATCCCAGCCAAGACGGCCGACCCCCAACTTTTTCTCCCGATCTCGTCCCAGTCACCGAGGAGCATATTTAACCACATGCCTTGTATCCACCGGTTTGACTTGTCGGGGAACAGAAACCCACCAACCAAACCAATTAGGTAGACACGTGCATACCGCTCCACCTGATCTTCAGGAGTGTCGGGGCCTATGTTAACCTCCATTTGGATGTGGTCAACAAGCCACGGGACCGATACTTGCCCCGCATTCAGTGGTGGATGCCCATGCCCGTCGACGGGCGTGGTGGTCGGCATGTTGAACCCCAAACGCTCTAGAATCAACGGCCCCCAACCATCATCCGGTTTTTTCGAGCTGTCGATGATGGCATCTCCGGTGATCGGGAGCCCGGTGAGGATGGCAACATCTTTGAGGGTGATCATCATTTCACCCTCGGGAAAGTGGAAGGTATGCAGCTCGGGGCGCCATCGCTCTGCCATTGCCGTCAGCAGATCGTTGTCAATATCAAGCCTCGTAAAGTGCCTCAGCATGTGCAATCCCGTCCTCTCTATATAGGGCTGCAGTCGATCATGCCAACGGGGCAATCGACATGTCCCTCGATGAGCGATGGGAATAAGTGATTCCTACAAAACAAATAACACAATATTATCAGTCAATAGAAAGCAAAATAAAAACTTTAAAACTATTGAAATAAATTTAGTGTGTCTACCGGATTATTGTTCCAAATTGAACGGGAGCGATGTTGATCTTGCCCGGTTAAATACCTTCGATCCCTTGGGCCAGGATCGATATACAATCGAGGGTCGTATATCTCAGCACCCATCTATAAAAAAATATAAAATCAAATCAATTTAAATTTTAGCACCCATGTAAAAAAAAATCACAGAAGAATATAATTAATTTACGTACTCTCAAAGCCTCTTCGTCCATTTTTTGCCGAAAAGCTAGCGAGAGTATCGACAAAACAAAAACTAACTCTAGTAATTCTTTCTGGTGCGGAAGATCGGACTTAGCCGCAACCACAGAGCATACTTAGAACGAAACTAGAGGAAAGTAAAGGAGGGAGAAAGAAGTATAAGATTTTGGTGTGGTTTGGAATGAGGGGGGGGGGGGGGGGGGGGGGGAGTGGTATTTATAGGGGAAAGGGGGGAAAGAGCCGCTGGAAAAAATTACCAAGGACCAATCACCGCCTCTGATGAAGGCAGTGAAATCACTGCGTCCAACAAACGCGGTGATGGCCTGGATAGCTGACGTGGCGCGGCGTGAGGCTTCGGATCGTGGAGAAAAACCACAATCCGCGCCTCACTGCATCCAACGGCAGCGGTGAAGGCGCGGGTGGCGCGGATCGCTGACGTGGAAAGCGGGGGCTATCACCGCTTTGGTCTTCAGCGGTGAAGTCCCCGCGCGCGTCCACGTCAGCGATCCGCGCCACTTCACCTCTTTTGGATTCAACGGTGAAGATGTTCACCGCGTCGCATCTCAACGGTGAGTTAATCACCGTCATTAACAACAGCGATGATAGCATCACTGTTGTTGTCAAAAACGGTGATAGCAACATCGCTTTGGACCAAAACAGTGATGCTATCACCGTTTCGGTCAAAAACGGTGATTTCCATCACTGTCTTGGTTTGCAGCGGTGATAACCAAACTGCTGTATTTTGGGAAATATTTTTATAAGTATTGTATTTTGGAAATTTTTTTTAATAATAAGTGTATTATGGGATTTTTTCCGGAGTTAGAACGTATCGTTTCAGAATTATGAGCCCACTACGAAGACACGTTGGGCTGGTGTTGAGAGCCCAATATCAAATGAAACCTAAAAAAGATTTTTTTTTTGTCGGAAACAGGAGCGCTTAAAGGGCGCCCCAACCTTTATGCATTAATAAAGCGAGGGGTTTCTACCCCAATTCTGTCAAAGTACAGCCAGTAAGCTAGAGAGCTCGTGGGAGCATCAATGATATGGACACCTACTCAGTGACGGACCAAGGATTCTCGTAAAGGTGTGTGAGTGTCGGTCGATAAAATTAAATAAACTAATAAATAAATTTTAATTATATTTTACTGTGAAACACAATGAGAAGTGGGATCGAAAGAGGTAAAGGGAACACTAGATTTTTTTATAAGATAGACAATAATAAAGAGCAGTAGTCCATATACAACCGGAGTCTCGATGAAAGAACATTTTTTGCACTAGGTGGACAACTATGTGAAAGCTACAAGGATAAAAAAGAAACGAAACTTATTCAGGTAGAGAGAAAAAGGAGAAAACTTCCTTACGATTACCCCTGCCTAAGATCTAAGGGCAATAAATCATTGCATTTAAATGCTTAAGCAATGGAAAGAAACCCAAATTTGTCATAAGTTAACTAAAATTTCAAATAAATAATATATATTACATATTTTAGGAACTTTATGACACTAATTTCATCATAGTGTATTGAAGTGTGGTGATTACAATTATTGACAGTGTGTCGAAAGTCCTAAATTCCAAAAAATTATACCGACAAAACATGGGTCTCTCAAAAAATGTTCGAGCGGAGGTGTGTCAAGCGACACACCTCCCTAACACATGGGTCCGCCCCTGCACCTACGGTGTAGCTATGGCCGATGGAAGCCAAATAGTCAGCAAGATAGTTTCCCTCTCTGTAAACATGCTCTAGCTGAACCTGCCAAGGATACTGAAGCCAACGTCGTATCTCGACAATGGCTACAAAGTGAGGATGCTGATGTCAAGCCGTCTCGATGAGAGTCTTTGCTATAAGCGAGTCAGTCTGTAAAATTACCTACCTAGCCCCTAGTTCCCAGGTAAGTTTCAGTCCCTGCACAATCCCAGTAAGCTCTGCACGGGTTATGGAAACCCCTCTCAGGTTCGCGGTAAAAGCTCCGATAAAACGACCATCGCCTCCCCTAACGATGCCGCCAGCTGCCGTGCTAGAAGGAGAGTGAATAACCGAACCATCAGTGTTCAGGCATACCCAGTCCTGTGGTGGTGACTGCCAACAGATCAATCGTCTCTCTTGAGGTCCCCCTCCCCCAAACGTGGTGGTCTCCTTCGCGAAAGCAGCAAGGTCTGCTGCTTTAGCTGTTTCGTATGGAACTGGATTTGGGCAGTGGACTTTAACTCACCTTGGAACACGTGGCCATTCTGGTTTTTTAACAGAAGCCAAGTTGTGCAAGTGAAGAGGGTGCTATCCACTACAGTACTGCGCCTTGCAATATAATGAAATAACCATTGACGCAAGGGTTGGTCGAAGAAGTCCGCATCAGGTTTGGAATCAAGCAGGTCAACTGATGACTCGGTATTTGCACATGTTTTCCCCTTTGTTTCTTGATTGTTTGAGCTTGAATTATTGCGTCTTTGGCCTATTTTATGCTAGGTTGTGTTCCTTTGTCCCATTTCAGGTCCTAGCACATAAAGTGAAGCATAGGCGCAAGTTTCAAGTCAATCAGAGATCAATTGACGATTCGAGAGAAGAAACTCGGGCATGACCTGAAGAAGAATGGATTTCTACCTCACTTTATGGACAAAGAATCATGCAAGCTTGTTATGAAACGAAAGAGGACGAGACTACGAGCGTCTGGGATCAAACGGCGATTGATTCGGAGTCCGGACGAGGGAGAAACGAAGCATTAAACAGAGGCTGAGCAAGCTGCACGGGCAGACCAGCGTTGCCACGCACGGCCGTGCAATTGACCAGTTTGGCCGTGCGGGATTGTGCGTGGGCACGCACGGGATTGTGCGTGGCCACGCACGGCCGTGCAACATACAATTCTGGCCGTGCGAGTTGGCTGAGGTTCAACTAATTGATACGCCGCGTTTTGAGGTGCACGGCCAGAATGGTGATGTGCACGGCCGTGCACTCTGGCCGTGCGAGTCGGGATTTTCTCCTTTTAAGCAGAATTTCAGCCACAATTCGGGGGGATTCGAGTTTTGGAGAGAGAGATCAGTTCCTAGAGAGAGAAAGTGACGAGCAAGAGTTCCCAAGTGCCCTAGATTGATCTTCAACACCATTGGAGGCCAGCTTGAGCTTGGAGGAGTGCCAATCAACGTCCAGAAGCAGGAATCCATCCTTCGCAGTATGAATTCCGTGTCTGATTCTGCTTTTGCTTTCTTCTCTATGGAGTAGTTCTCCCATTCATCTGGGTATGGAGAACCCTAGATTTGTATGTTAGGCTTTGATTGTATGAACCCAAGTACTGATTCTGTGATTGATTATATTCGATTGAGGTTTTAATGATTGAATGACTTGAATCCTGATCAAATTCCTGTTGTTTCTGCTTTAACCTAGAATGAGAATATCTGCCTAGGTTAATAGAGTATCCTTGATTGAAGGTAGGGAGTTGGTGACTTTAGTCGAGGAGCCAACCCACTATTCTGTACCGGATTTACTCCGGTAGTGGAGGTTTTGTTCTTAGGGCCTCAATCTGTCGACTCCGGTGGAGGTTAGTCGCCCGCTAGAGAGTCAGATTGAGAGGGTCTGAAGACCTTTAGTCGAGACTTCAGGCTGTTTGAGAACCTTCCGCAGTATAACTGTCATAGAAACTGAACTTGGTAATTACAATCCGGCTTAACTGCAGTCTAGGGGGAACCATATCCGGGTGACCTCTTTAACCTGAATACAACCGTTTACTTGCTTTGTTTGTTTGGTAGATTAGACTTGCACTCCAGTTTTATTGCTAGATAACAAGAACTCACTGAGTAGTCATCAGATCTAGGACCCGGGTTGATAATTAAACCTAAACCCGCTATACTACGCTTTAGGAAGTGGTTACACTTGGCCAATTCCTGGAGTGACAGTAGAGTCGAGTCAAGTTTTTGGCGCCGTTGCCGGGGACGGCTAGGTTGTTGAAGAAAAGTGATTTCTGTTAATTTAGCTTTTCTTTTTGCTTTGTTTTCTTTGTCCCACTTGTGCCTTCACGGGTTTGTTGCTTGAGTGTGTGCAGGTAGTGCATGACCCGTAGCCAGTCGGGAGGTTTACTGCCGTTGAATCCAGAGATTGACCGCACCTGTCGCCAGCTCAGGAGACAACAGCGAGCTAGACTGGCTACGGAAGAGCGCATAGACGGCCACCTGAGCAGCGATTCTGAAGAAGAGCACGGAATGGACGGAGACTACAATCAGCACCAGGGGAATCCCCCGGTGAATCAGGTCCTGGGGAACAACCCCATACCCCAGGATCATGGAGCTCATCATCCACCGCAGCCGGGTCCCACCCTGGAGTACTACTACACTCCGCGGATTGCTGACATCCGCCCGGTCATCCTCTACCCGCCGATCCCAGCAAACAGCTTTGAGATCAAGCCATGCTGGATTCAGCTCATCACATCTTCTATCCAGTTCCATGGCTTGAAGAATGAGGAGGCCAGGGTGCATCTTTCCCGTTTTCTGCAGCTGACAAACGGGTTCAAGCTGAACGGTGTCCCGGATGATGCGATCCGCCTTCATCTCTTCCCCCATTCTCTGGCGGGGAATGCTAAGAGGTGGTTGGAGACCCAGCCCCCATTGTCCATCACCTCTTGGGACGATCTGGCTGACAAGTTCGTGCACAGGTACTATCCGGCATCGAAGACTACAGAGATTCAGCGGGAGATCACTCATTTCCGCCAGGAGCCAGATGAGTCACTCCGTGATGCTTGGGAGCGGTACATGGGCTACTTCTGGCAGTGCCCCCACCATGGCTTTAGTGATGCTTTCACTGTGGGGAACTTCTACAGCGCTCTCTCCCCAGATAGCCAGAGGGTGATTGAGTCTTTATGCCCAGGAGGGGATATTCTTACCAAGACTCCACCCGAGCTGAACCAGATGATCAGTACTTTGGCTGCCAGAGATCATTCTTGGGGACAGGGTAGCCGAGGCAGACAGTCCCGGGACCGTGGTGTGCACGCCATGGAGACCAGATCCGGGCTCGAGCAGCAGGTAGCTGAACTGGTGCAGACATTGAAGCAGCCCAACAGTCTTCTTCCGGGCAGAGGTATGGCTACACCTCCAGTTGCTCAGTGTCAGTGGTGTGAGAGCTCGAGCCACTTAGTAGAAGACTGCCAGGCTATGAGGGAGTCTACTACTCCCCAGGAGCAGTTGGACTTCATCGCCAATGCTCGGCGCCGCGACCCGTACAGCAACACCTATAATGAGGGGTGGCGCCAGCATCCCAACTTCTCTTGGGGCAGTAACACCACCAAGCCACCTGGTTTCCCAGCACCAGCTGGTGGCTTTCAGCAGAGGCAACCCTATCAGCCTAGACAGGGTCCAGTTCCTCAGCAGCAGCCCTACCAGCCTAGGCAAGGGCAGCCATTCCAGCAGCCCCAGCGCCAGTTTGCCGAGCCAGCAGCAGCTCCAGCCCCAGATGACAGGATGACGAAGCTGGAAAACATTCTAGCTTCATTCATGACTAGCACCCAGGCTGCTATCACATCACTGGAGGCAGGTCAGCGGAACCAGGGTGCTATTTTGCAGGATCTGCAGACCCAGGTGGGCATCTTGGCCCGCCAGAACACCACCAGGGCACCAGGGACTTTGCCTGCCACCACTGTTCCTAATCCTCGAGATCCTCACCAGCATCAGCAGCTGGATGCCATTTTTACTAGGAGCGGTAAGACCATATCTGCTGATCCTGTCCCGGCCAGACAGGAGGAACCACTACCGGCTTCAGCACTTCCAGCCGACGATGCAGAAGTGCGGGTGGAGAAGGAAGCCCCTGCTCCCAAGCCACAACCAATGGTTAAGGAGCATGTACCCCAGCTTCCCTTCCCCACTCGCCTACACAAGGACAAGCTGGAGACTGAGTTTGCCAAGTTCATGGCAATGTTGAAGCAGCTCAACATCAGCATACCGTTCATGGAGGCACTGTCGAAGATGCCCAAGTATGCCAAGTTCATGAAAGATCTCTGCACCAACAAGAAGAAACTTGGGGATCTCTCAACAGTGATGCTGAGCGAGGAGTGTTCTGCTATCCTGCAGAACAAGCTGCCCGAGAAGCGCAAGGATCCAGGGAGTTTTACTATCCCTCTTACTATTGGCAGTATGCATGTAGGAAAGTCCTTGGCGGACCTAGGTGCTAGCATAAATGTCATGCCATATAAGTTGTTTAAAAAGCTAGACCTAGGTGAACTTAGCCCTACTAGGATGAGCATTCAGCTAGCTGATCGTTCTATCGTGCATCCTAGGGGAATCATAGAGGATTTGCTTGTCAATGTCGGTGCATTCACATATCCTGTTGATTTCGTTATTCTTGATGTGCATGAGGATGTGGATGTGCCTTTGATTCTAGGTAGGTCATTTCTTGCCACCGCCAAGGCACTTATTGATGTGCATGATGGTACATTGATCTTGCGTTCTGGGAATGAACAGGCTACTTTTTCTGTGACTGAGTTTGATCACTGTGCTATGATTGATGTCACGCCTGTGCATGTTATGTCTGATCAGATACACGAGCCTGTCGTATACCCTTCTGCACCTCCTATTTTGCAGGACCCTCCTATCATTCCTCCGCCGCCACTCCATCCAGCCTCACCTCCGAACAAAAAGCTCAAGGAGGAGTGGCGGCCGAAGCAGCAGGTTGCTAAGCCTGCACGGAAGAAGAGTGGAGACCACTATGAGCTGGTCCCACCTCCTGCACCACGACCACCCTGGCCGTCCGGGTACTCGCTCACCTGCATCTTGCCAGATGGGCAGGTCGAGCTGACTGATGATGGTGGTCGCATCCGTCGGGTGCATGGCCACAACCTGAAGCTGTACCTCAAGAGCGACGTGGATCCGCTCTTGGAGGCACCTGTTCCTGCACCGCCCTGAGTATCCACCATGGGCGTCCAGCTAATACGACGGTAAAGAAGCGCTTGTGGGGAGGCAACCCCACCACGGTTTGATTTTCTTTCTTGTTTTTTGAGTCGGATTGTAACCCGGCTTGGGTTTGGTTTGTTTTCTTTTAGTTTGGATGATATTTTATTGGGCTGACCATTGAACCTAACATACTGTGCTTGAGCTCTTCTGTTCCCCTTTGGCTGTGCTTGCTCCGACTGGCCCGTTTCTAGTCCCCTGCAGTCCGTGCATACCGGTAACATCGTTCCCTTATCCTTCCCTCTTCTCCATTGAGGGCAATGTCGAGCTTAAGTGTGGGGGGATGTTTATCTTTTGACTGCATTAGATCTGTTTGTGTGCTTGGAGCCTAGTCCACTGTCCAAATTTTTAAAATTTGAGGGCTCCAAGTACGTGTTTCCTTGCAATTGCCTGCTCAGTATGCTTTGAATTGACAGTCTTTATAGTGATATGCAACCTAGGGAGGTAGTGTAGCACTATGGAGGATGTTGATGCATTTAAGAAGTCTCATTTCTTCTTCATATTGTGTTGGTTGATTGAGTGAATTAGTGATCTTAGGACCCTTTGAATTGTGTGGTGTTGTGGATTCTCTGCCTGTCATGGACTCTTGTGTCATGTTTTGAAAATAACAGGTGCTCGATAATGTGCTTCAAAATAAACGTCTCCCGTGCGAATAGGGCGAAAGTGTGTAAGGGGAGACGGGAATCCGTTCCCAATTTCCACCTACTACCTCCAGCCCCCTTACATGTCTTTCCCCCGCACGAGGCTCGAGACATTCGCTCCTGGCATGGCCGGTAAGAGCAGGTTGGGACCCTTGAAAAGAAAAAAAGAAAAGAAAAATAACAGAAAACAAGCAAAACAGAAAAAAGGGGTTCCAACCATCTTCAAAGAAAATCGAGCACTTTGAAAAATGTGAGTCCATGATCTTTTGTTTTTGAGAATCTCTTCATCCACAATTCATTTGTCCTCTGTTCACTGTTTGCCATGATGCCGACTGACCGAAGAAGCTATGAGATGACTTGTGCGTCGGTTGACCTCGTAAGCTGCTAAATGATCTAGGAAGTCCTCTACCTACGATCTAGGTTGTTTGTTGCTATAGAGGTCTGGAGAGTTGCATTGGTTTGAGTTAGGTTTGCTTGGGGACAAGCAAACGGTTAAGTGTGGGGGGATTTGATGACTCGGTATTTGCACATGTTTTCCCCTTTGTTTCTTGATTGTTTGAGCTTGAATTATTGCGTCTTTGGCCTATTTTATGCTAGGTTGTGTTCCTTTGTCCCATTTCAGGTCCTAGCACATAAAGTGAAGCATAGGCGCAAGTTTCAAGTCAATCAGAGATCAATTGACGATTCGAGAGAAGAAACTCGGGCATGACCTGAAGAAGAATGGATTTCTACCTCACTTTATGGACAAAGAATCATGCAAGCTTGTTATGAAACGAAAGAGGACGAGACTACGAGCGTCTGGGATCAAACGGCGATTGATTCGGAGTCCGGACGAGGGAGAAACGAAGCATTAAACAGAGGCTGAGCAAGCTGCACGGGCAGACCAGCGTGGCCACGCACGGCCGTGCAATTGACCAGTTTGGCCGTGCGGGATTGTGCGTGGGCACGCACGGGATTGTGCGTGGCCACGCACGGCCGTGCAACATACAATTCTGGCCGTGCGAGTTGGCTGAGGTTCAACTAATTGATACGCCGCGTTTTGAGGTGCACGGCCAGAATGGTGATGTGCACGGCCGTGCACTCTGGCCGTGCGAGTCGGGATTTTCTCCTTTTAAGCAGAATTTCAGCCACAATTCGGGGGGATTCGAGTTTTGGAGAGAGAGATCAGTTCCTAGAGAGAGAAAGTGACGAGCAAGAGTTCCCAAGTGCCCTAGATTGATCTTCAACACCATTGGAGGCCAGCTTGAGCTTGGAGGAGTGCCAATCAACGTCCAGAAGCAGGAATCCATCCTTCGCAGTATGAATTCCGTGTCTGATTCTGCTTTTGCTTTCTTCTCTATGGAGTAGTTCTCCCATTCATCTGGGTATGGAGAACCCTAGATTTGTATGTTAGGCTTTGATTGTATGAACCCAAGTACTGATTCTGTGATTGATTATATTCGATTGAGGTTTTAATGATTGAATGACTTGAATCCTGATCAAATTCCTGTTGTTTCTGCTTTAACCTAGAATGAGAATATCTGCCTAGGTTAATAGAGTATCCTTGATTGAAGGTAGGGAGTTGGTGACTTTAGTCGAGGAGCCAACCCACTATTCTGTACCGGATTTACTCCGGTAGTGGAGGTTTTGTTCTTAGGGCCTCAATCTGTCGACTCCGGTGGAGGTTAGTCGCCCGCTAGAGAGTCAGATTGAGAGGGTCTGAAGACCTTTAGTCGAGACTTCAGGCTGTTTGAGAACCTTCCGCAGTATAACTGTCATAGAAACTGAACTTGGTAATTACAATCCGGCTTAACTGCAGTCTAGGGGGAACCATATCCGGGTGACCTCTTTAACCTGAATACAACCGTTTACTTGCTTTGTTTGTTTGGTAGATTAGACTTGCACTCCAGTTTTATTGCTAGATAACAAGAACTCACTGAGTAGTCATCAGATCTAGGACCCGGGTTGATAATTAAACCTAAACCCGCTATACTACGCTTTAGGAAGTGGTTACACTTGGCCAATTCCTGGAGTGACAGTAGAGTCGAGTCATCAACCCACGTCCTCTAGCCATCGAAAAATGTGAAAATAATAAGTGGACAATAGTTTTCGGTCCAAAATTTTATTGGCCATATAACACAGTATTTTTGGTGGGTTTTGGGTCCAATGTTCCCACCTATAACACAGGTAATTGATATCACTTGCATTGAAGTTCTTCTATTTATTACAATATTTAAGAAACTAACATCTATGTTTTATATGTAGATAAGTGGTGGAAATGGTTTGGCATTGATGCTCCAAATATTCAGAAGTTGGCTATTCGAATTCTTAGCCAAACTGTTGCTTCTTCTGGTTGTGAACGTAATTGGAGTGTCTTTGAATGTGTGCATACCAAAAGAAGAAACAGATTGCAACATAAAGTGCTTAGTAACTTGGTGTTTGTGAATTACAATTTGCGATTGCTGAATAGGTAATGATTTGAATTATAGAACTTGTGTGTTGAATTCATAGTTTGTATGCTTACTATTGAATTGAATTATATTATGTTTTCTACTTTGATTAGGGAGTATTATACCAAGAACAAAAAAGAATCATATGATCCCATAAGCCTAGAAAGCATTGATTCTACTGTTACTAGTCACTGGTTGTTAGAAGGGGAAGAAGGTTCATCTTCTAGGGAAAAGGAATTGGATATTGATGAGCTGGATCGAGCATTAGAAGAGGAAGGTTTGTTTGTAAATCAATTATGTATGATATGAATTCTAATACTAATAATTGATAATAATTCTTACTTGTTTTCTCTTGTATTGTAGTTGGTGATGAAGAAGATGAAGGGGACGACTTGCAGAATGTAGACTTATATACATTTGGTGTTGTTTGATGATATGAAACGTTGTAGTGTTTGCTAGTTTGTGTTTGTGGTAGTTGTGAACTTGTGGTTTGAGAATGTTGTTTGAACTTGTGGTTTAAGAATGTTGTTTGGTTGTTTTGTACTCGATCGTAAACATGCATTTGAACGATTATGTAGTTAATTCAGTAATGTTGCAGTTTGTTTATTTTTAGATTAAATAGGTTTAATACACTTGTATATCCAAAACATTCACGGTTGTGCCAATAATATCCAAATTTCCCGGAATACCACTTATATCCATGTTTTAAAGTTGTTCTTTGCCAAATCTATCCATTTCCCAATATATTTTTGGTTAAATACACTTGTATATCCAAAAACACCGTTAAAGAATGTGAAGGAATTGGATATAAGTGGTATTTCGAAAAATTTGGATATTATTGGCACAACCGTGAAAGTTTTGGATATACAAGTGTATTTAACCTATTAAATATGCCTATTTAGTTTATTCAGGTTTGTTATCCGGTATTATTCCAAAACGGTATCCCGAATCTGCCGGTACGGTTTTTTAACAAAAAAATATTATTTAATTACAAAAACGGTATTTTGCCGGTACACAACGATTGAACCACGATAGTACCACAAAATACCCTACCACTGGCTGATCTGGTATGACTTCCGTTACGGTTTCCTTTATCATGCCTGGAATGTGGTAAATGCATAGGACAGTATTATTGTATGAAAAAGTTTAGTATATAATACACTATTTACATTATAAATAGTGTATTAGTGTATATAATACACTGGTTACGCGCTCCATTTCTATCGTTTTATCTTATTCGAAGGAAATCAAAAGATTAAAGGGTGGAACACGCACGGTGTGAAACAGGCGCACGTGCCACGGTAGGTGGGTAGAGCAGCCGGAGGCGCAAAAGCTAAATGCAGCAGGCGCCCGACTGAATCCAATAAGGCGGGAAATCGTAAACGGGCGTCCATCTTTCATTGCTCTCATAAGATCGGGTGAATGTTCACAAGCACGGTTAGTGTCCAACGGGCGCATAGTGTGGGGGGCAAGGTACCGCTGGGCGCCTGCTAATACTTTGTATAAGGGAGAGCAGCCAAGCGCCTTATTCCAATTATTTTGCCTTGCCCAAAGGGAATCAACGGGTCATGGGGCAAATACCATGGCAGGTGCGTTGAAACAATCGGAGGCGCGAAGGCTAGGCAGAAAATGAATACAGGCGCCTGGCTGAATTCGGTAAGGCGAGGGGTCGCAAGTGAGCGTATATTTCTCCTTGCTTTCATAAGAGTGGATAAACAGTCACAAGCATAGATAGAGGCCGATGGGCGCATAAGTGGGGAAGGTAACGCAAGGCGCCTGCTAAAGCATCTGATGAAGAAGAATGGCGAACGGCTACCTTAACGGAGCCCATGCACCGAATTAATTCTTTCATAGTTAGGCGCTCACTTATGAGCACCTAACTGGGGGGAAATTGTTGGGGAAATGTAGATGAGCCCATGTAAGCCCAAAAGCATAATGGGCTTCGAGCCCATTAATGGCCCTTTGAGACATGACTTGGGGGGACCAATGGTAAGGAGGCGCATGGCGATAAAATAGGCTCGTGGACAAAGGAGTACGGCATAGGAGGATCAGAAAAGCACCGCGTAGGTTGATGGTCCCCCCATGCGCCCTGACATCCGAGCCGGAGGACGCGCCACGTGGAGGCGCCCGGACGTTGGACCAGACCAAGCATTAAATGCCTTAGCTGACGTAAGGCTCGGTGGCAGGAGTTGGTCGGAGCCTGGTCGAGGAGCTCGAGTAGTATAAATAGTGCTCGGTAGGTGGCATTTACTCAGGTCGGTTTCTCTCACTAAATTGCCATTTCTTCACTTATCTCTCTAGAGAACGAGCACTGACTTGATCGTCGGAGTGCTAACGAGTGCCTACGGCCCTCTAGGCGCTAGTTTTGCAGGGTCCGAGCGCCTGCGGTGTGGCGGTTAGGGTGCGCTTGATAGAGTGAAGTATCCGGGCTTCAACAATTGGCGCGCCAGGTAGGGGCGCCAAGCCTGAGAGGATATAGGAAGATGGAAGACTTGAACGAAGGAAATGCAGGCGTGGACGATGCGAGAACGGAGGACTCCGGACATGAGGGGAGTGGGAAACGGTCTAGCCCAGTGGTGAGTATGGAGGTAGAGGAAGAGAGTCGTGAGCGCCCCTCTATGGAGAGTGATTCGTTGTCCAAGAGAGAGCTGTTTAAGATCATCGCGGACCAGGACAAGGCAATAGCCATGCTCCGGAGGGAATTGGAAGGTGGAAGGAGCGCCGATACGAGAGAATACAGCCCACCAGTAAGGAAGCGCGACAGGCTCGTGGATGATTCGGACGTTAGTGAGTATGGGCGCCCATACTATGAAGGGTCGCATGTAGAGTTTACCCCGCCTAGGCGCCCGTCTGGGTGGAGAGCGCCTGGTGAGTTGGCTGGCTCCGGGCCGGAGGAGCAAAACCCATGGACGCCTAGACGCCAGACAAGGCGCTTTGGGATCAGGCAACCCCTGGCGCAAAGTGTCCTGATGGAACCAGCAGGAACTACCCTACCGCCTCTAACCAGCTATGATGGGGTCACTGACCTGGAGGATCATTTGAATAGCTACTTTACGAAGATGCAGCTGTATAACAGCACGGATGCCACGCTATGCAAGGTGTTCCCCTCGACCTTCGCGGGAGTAGTTTTGGACTGGTATCATCAATTGGAGGAGGGGCGCATTGAGTGTTTTGAACAGTTCGCGGAATTGTTCTTGTCCAAATTTGCGAGCCGGAAGCGTAGAACACTGACTATAGGCGCCTTGTTTAAAATCAAGCAGAAGGATGGGGAGGCGCTTAGAGAGTTTTATGACCGGTGGATTTTGGTCGCCATGGCTGTGAAGGATGTGCAACCGCCCGTGCTGGGCGTATGCCTAGAGGAATGCACGAACAGTGAGGAGTTATGCCGAGTGCTGTCGAAGAAGGCTGTAGTTTCAACAGAAGACTTGGATCGGAGGGTTCAGAAGGTGATTGCATTGGAGGAGACCTTGGCTGCAAGAAGGGAAGAGAAGAGGCGCGTGGGCCGAGAGGAGATTGAAGGGCGCCAGGCTCCCAGACCATTCTTTATGAACAACGCCCCGCAGAGGAGAGTGGAGAGTCAGCGCCCCTTGCCCAGGAGTGCGGGAAACTTTACAGAATACAACGATTCCTTGAAGAATATTTTGCAATACGTCAAGGATAGAGGGTACCATGTGCGTTGGCCGGGACCCATGCGCGGGCAGCCGAATGAGCGAAATCTTGACCGATTCTGCGACTTCCATCGGGATAAAGGGCACCATACGACCGATTGCTACCAGCTAAAATCGGAGCTGCAGACTCTAGCCGATCGAGGGATGCTCAACGACTTTATAAGAAAAACAGACGAGCGGACCCATCGTGCTTACGTCACAAGGGAAACAAGGCAGGCGCCCGTCCTCCCCACAGTGCCACAGGCGCCCGAAGTTCACCCACCCCCGCTTGAGATACCCCCGCCCCCATTTGAGGTGAATCAAGAAGGAGAACCCGGCCGGGTAAGACTCACCGTGGAATCCATAACTGGTACCATTGACTTGCGGGATAAGTTGGATCGTTCTAGGCACCTCAGGGCGGCGTCTGTGGAAGCAAAGGCGGCCGTCCAGATATGCTTTAATCAGGAGGCGGAGGAGGCATGTCAAGTGCCTTCGGAGGAGGCTTTGGAGATACAAGGAATCATTGCAGGGTGCAAAGTTAAAAGGATGTTGGTGGATACGGGAAGTTCGGTGGACGTTTTATTCAAAAGCACATTCGAGCGCATGCAGTTGGCACCTGAGTTGGTAAGCCCCTCTGATTCTGTGCTGATTGGGTTCTCGGGGGCGCCTGCTCATGTGATAGGGCGTGTGCGCCTCCCGGTTACGTTGGGTGATGAAACGCATCGAGTAACACATGCTGTGGAGTTTGGGATAGTGGATTGCCCCTCACCGTACAATGTCATACTGGGGAGGCCCCTTTTGGCATTATTCAATGGGGTGGCCTCAACTTGTCACCAAACGTTGAAGTTCGTCGCCCCGCAAGGCATAGGAGTCTCAAGAGGAGAAAGCGCCCCCCGCTACGCGCGAGAGGAAGAAAGAAGAAGGAAAGGCGCCCGAAGGCCCAGGGTAAACAACAATAATATCCGCCCAGAAGAAGCGCCTAGAGCAGAGCCTGTGGATGATGAGTTCAGTGTGCCGATCGAAGAAGGGCGCCTAGATCGTCAAGTGCGAGTGTCGGCACAGGCGCCAGAGCACATGAGGGCGCCCTTAATCAATTTGTTAAGAGAATTCGGGGAGCTCTTTGCGTGGAGCCCTCAGGACATGCCAGGAGTGTCCCCAGACGTGGCGGCGCACCGGCTGGCCGTCAAAGAAGGAAAAAGACCTGTCCAACAAAAACGACGGAGTATGACTCAAGAGAAAGAGGAAGCCCTGCGGAAGGAGGTCGATAAGTTGCTCGAGGCAGGATTTGTTGAGGAGGCCAGGTATATCACTTGGCTGTCGAACGTTGTATTCGTCCCAAAGCCGTCGGAGGATTGGAGAAGGTGCGTGGACTTTACCAACCTTAATCGGGCATGCCTGACGGATGCTTACCCGATGCCGCGCATTGACCTGCTTGTGGATGCCACGGCCTACCATGAGGCGCTCAGCTTCCTTGATATGTTTTCGGGGTATCATCAAATTCCCATGGTGGAGGAAGATAGAGCAAAGACCGCCTTTATGACCCCTTTCGGCAATTTCTGTTATAGAGTGATGGCATTTGGTTTGAAGAATGCAGGCGCCACGTATCAGCGTATGGTAAATCAAATCTTTCGTGGGCAGTTGGGAAGGAATGTCGAGGCATATGTCGACGATTTGATTGTGAAAAGCAAGAGGCGCCAAGACCACATCTCGGACCTGAGGGAAACATTCGAGACTATGCGCCTGTACAAGCTGCGGCTCAACCCGAAGAAGTGCGTGTTCTTAGCAGAAGCCGGTAAATTTTTGGGATTCATGATCACAAAGAGAGGAATTGAGGCCAACCCCAAGCAAGTTGAGGCAATCATGAATTTGAAGCCCCCCCGAACGCCTAAGGAAGTGCAAGGGTTGACGGGAAGATTGGCTGCGCTGGGGCGCTTCATTCCACGAGCCTCCGATCGAGGCGCCCCCTTTTTCAGAACTCTCAAAAAGGCAAGCAAGTTTAAATGGACGGAGGAGTGCGATGAGGCATTCGGAGATTTAAAGAAGTTGCTAACCGCGCCCACTGTGATGACCGCGCCTAAGATCAAGGAGACGCTGTACTTGTACATTGCGGTGTCCCGGATCGCGGTGAGTGCGGTGTTGGTGTCCAAAGATCCGTCAACGAATGAGGAGAGGCCGGTATACTACGTGAGCCGCACCATGGTGGTGCACGAAACAAGGTACGCGCCCATTGAAAAAGCAGCGTTGGCAGTGGTGATGGCGGCTAACAATGGGGGATGGATCTTTTGGGACCTTTCCCCAAGGCGCCCGGGCAATTTAAGTACTTGATTGTGGCTATTGACTATTTTACCAAGTGGATTGAGGCAGAACCCTTGGCATCCATCACTAAAGTGCAAGTGCGGAAGTTTACCAGAAAGAACATCTTCACAAGGTTCGGGCTGCCTGAGTCGATCATCACCGATCATGGCAAGCAGTTTGACTGCAAGAAATTTATCGACTTCTGCGATGAAAATGGGGTGGTCCTAAGATTCTCTTCTGTAGCTTATCCGCAAGCAAACGGGCAAGCTGAGGCGGCCAACAAGAGTATATTACATGGGCTGCATACCAGGCTCGCAGAAGCTAAGGGGAATTGGGTGGAGAAGCTTCCAAGCGTCTTGTGGGCGCACAGGACCACCTTCAAAGTTGCAACCGGAGAAACACCCTTTGCACTAACGTATGGCAGTGAAGCGGTGTTACCAGTGGAGGTTTCCATCCCGACCTTTCGGATGGCGCATAGGGGGGAGGCAATGGAGGAACAGGAGCGGATCAATGAATTGGACCTCCTCGATGAGCGTCGTGAAAGGGCGGTTCTGCGCCTGGAAGCAATGAAGTCTCAAGTAGCCCGATACTATAACAAGAAGATGCGCCCGCATGACATTGTGGCCGGGAGCTTGGTGCTGAAGCGCGACTTTCGCCCAAAAGCCACTGATGGTAAGTTGGCACCAAAGTGGAAAGGGCCATATCGCGTGCAAGAGGTAGTCGGGCCTGGCACGTTTAAGCTGGAGCACTTGTCGGGAAAAAAGGTCAAGAGAACTTGGAACGCGCAAAACCTGCGAAGGTATGAAATCGGGGAAGTAAGTGTGATGGGAGAAGAGGGTAAGGTGCCCGAAGGGGCACCGAGCAAGTGGTAATTACGAAGGGGAAAGGCAGAGCCTTGGGGTGTTTTTTGGTAGGAGTAGAGCAAAGCGCTTAAATGCGCCCGGGATTTTTAATGCGCCCGGGATACTTAAAGCGCCAGGATATATATTTATGTAAAGCGCCCAATTCAGCGCCCGGAAATATTTTTGTAAAGCGCCCTTCAGCGCCCGGGATACTTAAAGCGCCCGGAAATAGCGCCCCAAGATTGTTCTTCCTTTTGAAATCGGAATATATACATACATAGATACTTCCTTGTCTATAGCACCGATTTATTGTGCCCTTAATGCGCCCGACACAGATACTTCCTTGTCTATAGCACCGATTTATTGTGCCCTTAATGCGCCCGACACTCATAAAGCGCCCTCGCACCAAATGCTCGTGCCATCAGTAAGGCATGAACGTACCCTTAATCGTACCAAGACTTGACGAAAATAATTTAAAGCGCGGAAGTTAAATGATTGGCAAAGGGTCGCCAAAGTAGTAGGCGCCTATGATATATAAATACGAGATAGAGATTGTTATAAGTTCATGAAACACATCGCACAAAACAATAAACTTCCAAGAGTTCTACAGAATGTGGAAATTCAAAATAGTAGGCGCCTATTCTTCCCCTGAGTCGTCGCTGGAGTCCGAGCCCGAATCCGAACCTTCTTCATCCGCTTGATCTTTGGTGGGAGCAGGAGGGGCATCAACAATGGGGCGCCCGCTTGACATGAAGTCAATCACGAAGTTGGCCATCTCCTTAACATCCCAATTGATGGTGGGATGATCAGCCTCAAGCTTCCTTTTAAATATAAGAATGCTGTTGAGGGACGCTTGAGCCTTTAGCGCCAAGTCTGATGTAGGCGCCCCTATTCCAGCCTTCTCCGCCTTAAGCGCCTCCAACTCCTCTTGGTGCCTCCTATTCTCCTTTGCCAGAATCTTCTTCTCCTTCTGAAGCGCCTTCTTCTCTTCGGTAAGGAGGTCAATTTCACTCCTCTGGGCGCCCGCCTCCTTGTCGAGATCATCCCTTTCCTTCACCAATTTGGCCATCTCCTCGTGATGCGCCCTTTTGACAGTCTCAAGATGCGCCTCATGCTCTGGTTTCAGTCTCTTCTTTTCCTCGTCAATGGAATGTTGAACGAGGGAGACCGCTTTGGCAGCCTCAAGATTGGCAGTCTCGCACGCCTGCACTAACTCCGCTTGGCGCCTCTGCGCGGTCTCCAAATCATCCCTCATCACGCTAAGGGAATTGCAGGCTTCATTTTCTCCAACGCGCAACGCCTCTCCAGCCAGTGCGCCATTCTTAGCAAGTAAGAGCATCTAAAAGAGGAGATCAATCAAAAATTGCACATAAACGAAATAGGTACACATAGAAAAGTGATGGAAAACACAAGGTGAGCGCATACCTGAGCAGCCATGCGCGCAACCTCACCCCATAAGTTCGCACCTTGAACTTCACTGGGCGCCCTCAATACCTCGGCCGCATGAAAGGCAAAGCTAAGCGCGGGGGCTCTCTCCAGAGCAGATCTGTCGGAGCAGGCAATGTTGACTCTGTGCATGGGGGGTTGTAGCCATTTCTCGACAAAATCCGGGACTTTCTCCTCTGCGCTCGTGCGCTGCTTCTTGCTCTGCGCCCCGGTATCATCCTCCACCTGCTTGCGCTTCAGCTTTTGCACAAGTGGAAGATCATCGATATCCAGCTCGGCATCAGAAGGAATGTTTGCAACAAGCGCCTCCTCGTCGAGTTGCACGAAAGCAGGCGCAGTCTCTTCCTCCACTAAAGGGGCGCTGGCTGCCTTTTGTTGTTTCATGCGACCCTTTCCAGTGGGTGCGGTGACAGGCGCATCGCCCTTAGCCCCGGATGATGAGGATTTGTTCTTCCCTTTCTTTGAAGAACTTCACCGTTGGCGTGAGGGCGCCTTACCACTGACCTTGGGCGCCTGGTAGTCCAAACCCAGACCCTCAAGTTGGGTCTTCATCAACGATGCTATGGTAGTGAAGTCCACACCTGCAATGGAGCACACATTGTTAAGTAAAAACATGATGACGGTTATGCATGTGAAAGAAAAATGGGGGCGCATTCAAATTTGTAACAACATCAGAGCGCTACTAAGCGCCTACCTACCGTCAGCATAGTACTCATGCAAGACAGGAGTTCTAGCGGCCGTCGAACTAAGGTTCACGGGGTGTTCAGATATTAGGCGCGCGTGCTCTTTTTCCATAGTGGATAATTCCACGTCCACATTGAAGCGTGTGGTGTTACCAACTTTCCAAGCCTGGATGAAGCGCTCACCACTCTCATAAAAAGACTCCGCTCGCGGCTTAATGAAAAAATACCCCCTGTACCACTTGCGCCCCAACTTTGGGCAGTCTTCTACAAAGTGTCTTGGGATATCCAGGCGCCTCTGAAGGGACAAGCAATTGTCACTGCTGGTCATAGTGAAGAAGTACTGAAAAAGCTTAAACGTCGGGGTGATGTTGTTCTGCACACTTCAGCTTAAATAAGATGTGAATCAGAAAAACCGATGGCGATAGGCGCCCGAGAGAGCAGGCGCATGTGGTGAGGATCCCTTCCAAAATCGAATCTAAGGGAAACCGCAGCCCGAACTTAAAGTACTCACTATATATACCAAGCCACCGTGGGCCAATTGCTCCTATCCTGGCAATTGGGGACGCAGGCGCATAGGACCATGTGCGAGGGAGGTTGCAAGAGGTAATCAATCGATGCATTTCCGCGAACTTGATGGTGGACGAGTGTTTCGGCCCAGTACGCCGAACGGACAGTTTACTCGTACTGTCAGGCGCCTCCCCTTGCGGCCATGTGTCTTCCCAGTCCACTATCTTGAACGACCCATCTTCAGGGGCGCCCGAGTCGGTGGATGCCGGAGAAACAGCCGAATCACTTGACTTCGACGGGGTAGGCGCGGAGCCTATAAGTGATCGAGGCGCCCTTGGTCAATACGGAGGACCTAAGCCTTTGGTGGGCACCTATCAAGGAATCAACATACATCGAAAATTCAAAGAGCGGAGAAAAAGGTATCTTACCCTGGTTAGTCGTGGAGGGCGCTGGAGTGGTAGCAGTGGGAGCTATGGAGGCCGCCGCCACTCTAGGCGCCTCCTCGCCGGTGGGCGCGGAAGACGAAGGGGCCGATTTTGTTTGCTTAGGCGCCTCTTTGTGGGACCTAGGCCCCCGTTGATCTTGATTTCGCAACGGGTCAGGTGAAAGGTGCTTCTCAAGCACATCCAATACGCTAGGCGCCGCGCTTCCGCCCTTCTCGGTGGAGGTGTGGGTCACGCCTGAGTCTGCCTGAGACATGGTAATCGGACGAGGATAGGCGCACGAGAGAGCAGAGTATAGGGCGCGCGGGCTAGAGAGGAGGGATCGGTTAGAGAGAGAAGCTAGAGAGAGAAAGGAATTGGGGGCGAATGAAGGGAAGAGGGGAGGAAGATGAATATTTATAGGAGAAGGGAGGTGGAGAGTCACCTCGAGATACGCGCGCGCCGAACGGGCCAATCCTCGCCCTTCGTTCAAAATTCGAAATTCGAATTTCAAAATTCGAAATTTGATCGAACGTCGAGTGGGGGGCGAGGGGTACGGTCACGCGCCCCCTTTTCAGTCGTATGGTTTCGCGCTCCATTTCTATCGTTTTATCTTATTCGAAGGAAATCAAAAGATTAAAGGGTGGAACACGCACGGTGTGAAACAGGCGCACGTGCCACGGTAGGTGGGTAGAGCAGCCGGAGGCGCAAAAGCTAAATGCAGCAGGCGCCCGACTGAATCCAATAAGGCGGGAAATCGTAAACGGGCGTCCATCTTTCATTGCTCTCATAAGATCGGGTGAATGTTCACAAGCACGGTTAGTGTCCAACGGGCGCATAGTGTGGGGGGCAAGGTACCGCTGGGCGCCTGCTAATACTTTGTATAAGGGAGAGCAGCCAAGCGCCTTATTCCAATTATTTTGCCTTGCCCAAAGGGAATCAACGGGTCATGGGGCAAATACCATGGCAGGTGCGTTGAAACAATCGGAGGCGCGAAGGCTAGGCAGAAAATGAATACGGGCGCCTAGCTGAATTCGGTAAGGCGAGGGGTCGCAAGTGAGCGTATATTTCTCCTTGCTTTCATAAGAGTGGATAAACAGTCACAAGCATAGATAGAGGCCGATGGGCGCATAAGTGGGGAAGGTAACGCAAGGCGCCTGCTAAAGCATCTGATGAAGAAGAATGGCGAACGGCTACCTTAACGGAGCCCATGCACCGAATTAATTCTTTCATAGTTAGGCGCTCACTTATGAGCACCTAACTGGGGGGAAATTGTTGGGGAAATGTAGATGAGCCCATGTAAGCCCAAAAGCATAATGGGCTTCGAGCCCATTAATGGCCCTTTGAGACATGACTTGGGGGGACCAATGGTAAGGAGGCGCATGGCGACAAAATAGGCTCGTGGACAAAGGAGTACGGCATAGGAGGATCAGAAAAGCACCGCGTAGGTTGATGGTCCCCCCATGCGCCCTGACACCCGAGCCGGAGGACGCGCCACGTGGAGGCGCCCGGACGTTGGACCAGACCAAGCATTAAATGCCTTAGCTGACGTAAGGCTCGGTGGCAGGAGTTGGTCGGAGCCTGGTCGAGGAGCTCGAGTAGTATAAATAGTGCTCGGTAGGTGGCATTTACTCAGGTCGGTTTCTCTCACTAAATTGCCATTTCTTCACTTATCTCTCTAGAGAACGAGCACTGACTTGATCGCCGGAGTGCTAACGAGTGGCTACGGCCCTCTAGGCGCTAGTTTTGCAGGGTCCGAGCGCCTGCGGTGTGGCGGTTAGGGTGCGCTTGATAGAGTGAAGTATCCGGGCTTCAACAATTTCCAAATCATCTCATAACATATACACATTTTTTATAATCGTTTATAAATGATGATAATACACCCAAATTCAAAGGTGCATCGTACACTTGCCATAGTAAAATTGTTGATATAGCTACGACTAGTGGTTCCCAAGGTGCTGGAGGAGGGTATTTTAGGACCAAGTAGACGTGGTGGTAGCAACGTCAAGAGCCTTGTATGTGGGATCTCAAAAGTGTTTCTTGTGGAGCTTTTAGCCCTTCGGGATGCAGCCCGGTGATGCTTAGATGGAGGGCTACGCTCACTAGTGTTTGCAGGCGATGCATAAGTTATACTGAGGAAGGTTCGAGAGGGCCACCTGGCAGATACCCTTGGGGTACAGCGTTGGGAGGAAGATTAGAGCTATGAGTCACTCTTTCCGGGTTGTTAAAGGTAATTTTTGTTGGTTGTAGGTGTAACAGGGTTGCCCATTTGATGGTGAAAAAAACTCTTTCGTTGTTCCCTTTGTTAATAATGTTCGATTTTATTTCCAAACTATTTTTGGCTATGTGACTCTTGATATCTAACTGTTTTCTCGACCATATGAGTGATCTTTTGGAAAAAGAATGAAATTGAAAATGAATGATAACTACTTTTAACAATATGTTTCAACCACCACTCGGGGCAATCCACTATATTGCACCCAAATAATCCAGCATAAAGATCCCCAACCCCTTCTTCAGAATCTAGTGCATAAACTGTTAAAAAAATATAGTGCATAAACAATGTATTTTCTTTTTTCTCAGAAGATAATCATCCTTACTTAATATTATAGGAATTCAAAACTAAATCTTTGCCACATAAGCACATGGATGACTCTAATTCTTCCATGTTGGACAAGTTCTAATTATAAATTTTTTCCTTACACTTAAAACCATCATTATTATCATTAAATTATGCATTAAGTTAATAACAATGAATACAATCTTTTGGTTTTTTCTATTGATTTTCCGGTGTAGATGATCTAAATAAAATTGGAAATTGGAAAAAATAAAAGATAGAAATTGGGTCAAACCCTATAAAACAAACAAAACTCTTTTCTTATTTACTCAAAATTTTGATATTTCTAGCATTTCTGTTTTCTTCTCTACTATTTTATGCATAGATACTATTTTAAGGAAAATGGTAAGACATGTAGAGTTTTTTTCATTGCGTCAGTTACAAGAGGCAGCAATTAGATGAGAAACAATTGAGTAGCTGTAATATATTGTTCCTATTGGCAAAAAAGTTCTTATCATTGCGAATACGAAGTAAACCAAGCCAAGTATTATCGACAACTCCCTATTCTCCTGTGATCCGCAGCTAATGACTGACCTCTCTTCTCCAACTGTATTTGGCTGCTTGTGATTAACTGGTCGGGTTCTACTCTTCTTTCCATTTCTTAAGTACTTTCATATTATGGTGGCAGGGTTGTAAATTGCTCTACTTGATCTACCATTGGCTTTCATCTTCGCTTTAGGTATTATTCAAAACTAAATTACTGCCACATCAGTACATGGATGGCTCTCATCCTTTCATGGTGAGCAAGTTCTATTTATAAATGACGTACCTTATGTTAACACTTTCAATCGTCATTATCATTAATAACACATAAATTTAAGTGAATAACAATGAATGCAACCTTTTAGTTTGTTTCTATACGTTTTTTCTGTATAAATTAGCTCTCTAAAAATAAAATCCATCATTAAAAAGAATAAAATTAATTGAGTGGGTCAAGCCCTATAAAAACAAAAAAAATCTTTTCTTCTTTGCTCAAAAGTTCGAGATTTCTAGCATTTCTCTTTTATATTATTCATCGGATGCTAAAATGGAAAACAAATTGTGAGGATTGTCACCTTACCATGTTCCATCAGATGATGTTTTTATATTTATTATGTTCATGAGTAGCTTGCTACTAGCTAGCTTTACAATGATGATATAGTCAGTAAGTAGTAAGTGGTAGGGGTTATAAGTAGAAGGGATATGGAGTTTTATAAAGGTCACAAATAAGAAATAAAGTGGTAGTGGTGGTCATTGGGTTGTCTATGTCCATGTTCTTTCAATTTCTTAAAGTGTGCAACGTCAATTGTTTGTTTTCCATCAATCCAGTTCATGATTGAGGAATTCATATGATGGAACGAATTGAGTTGTACTGAAGTTTGCAACTTTCACTATTCGTCTATGTTGTTATTAGGTAAAAAAAAATATTCGTTTTGCAGAGGATAGTTAGCCCTCTACTAAATATCAATTATATTTATATGCGGTTAAATTTGCTGAAAATATTATTATAATAAATTAATGATAGTTGATAGTTCTATTTCTGGTTGGTTATGCTAGAACATTGCTTTTTTTTTTGTCAAAAGATATCATATATTGATCATAAAAAATAGTTACATCCTGGAAAACAGCCAGGCCCTGAAATCAAACCGACGATACATAGAAGGAGACAAAGAGAGGGCCTTTCTAGCTACAACATGAGCTACCCTATTGTTCTCCCGTCCTATAAATCGCACACTAAAACCCGGTTGGGCATCCAACAAAATACCAATCTCCTCTAAGATCGCACCCAACCGACTCTCCCTATTATCACCCTGATTGATTTTATCAATAAGCACCTTAGCATCCCCCTCAAACCGGACCTCTGTCCACCCACTGTCCAAACACCAAGTAATAGCCTCCCGGAGCGTAAGCAACTCCACCAGCGCCGGCTCTTCCACCGAAGGAAACTGAACCCCCTTAGCCCGAAGCAGCATATTAGCAGGAGTGAGAAGAACCATCCCACCGACCGCATGCGACCCACCCTTAGTAGCCCCATCCCAACGACAGATCCACCGGAAATCCCCCACGTTTACCTCCGCCGGCACCACCCGATCTCTGCCCGGAGGCCGCCCATCCACTGGCAAGGCCATCCACTCCTCATACTGTTGATGGAATTGTCGCATAAGGGCTGGAATCCCAAACTGTTTGCCCTCAAAGACCACCCAGTTCCGGGACTTCCAGATCCGCCAAAGGACTGCAACCACCGCCATCACTAGCGAGGGCTGGTGGATCAATGCCAATAACCGCTTAAGAAACAAAGGGAAAGTATGACGGGGCAAACCCTCTCCCAGATAATCGAGCCCAGAATGGTCCCAAATAGCTCGCGCAACCGGGCAGTACAGAAACAAATGTTCCATCATTTCCGGGCCATTCCAGCAGACTGGACAACGGGGCAACACTGGCACCTTTCTCTCGATAAGCGCTTCCATAGTAGGAAGAATCCGGTTACAAATTTGCCATATAAAAACTTTCAATTTCGGTGGTATCTTAGCTTCCCAAATCCTGATCCAGCTTTTTTTATCCATCCAACTAACAGCCTCCCTCCAACCCCCCCCCCCCCTCCTCCTGTCTAGATCCACCGCCAAATGATAAGCGGACTTAACCGAGAAAACTCCATCAGCCGTGTTATGCCAAATGAGTTTGTCAGCAACATTCCGCCGCGGAAGAGGAATAGACTTAATGGCTGCGCATGTCGAAGGGTCAAACCACCGACTCAACTTAGCATCCGACCACCTACCTTCCCCTTCGCAGATGAGCTCCGCCACCAAAGGATCCCCCCCCTCGGGCAGAATTAACGGATTATAACTCGGGGCTGCAAGCTGGCAACCAGGGATCCAGTTAAGGTAAACTAAAATGGATAAGCAGAAGATTGATTATGTGGATGCTAATGAGATTTCTTGCTCTATCAAAATTACATGGATAACTTATATTGCATTATATTCATAGGATCTAAAATAATAATAAAAAATAGTAGACACAAAATAGTTTACATAAAATAATTTAATAAAATTAGTGTTTCATTAATAAATGGAAGATACAAAGGGTCTAACAATATCTTCTTATGAAATAAGGTAAAAGAGATTGAAATTTTCATATATAACAGTGTAACATACATGAATCATAAAAAATAAAATAATACAATGAAAAATAAATCAATTTGCATCGCCCAACGGGCGGGTAAAAAACTAGTATATATTGATTTGAAAATAAATCACTACATCCTGGAATTTAACCAGACCAGCAAATAAAAAAATTACACGTAGTTGGGTACAATGAAAGGTCTTTCTAGCCATCAAATGGACTACCCTACTACTACTCCGACCTACAAATTGCACATTAAGCCCAATATGAATCGCGAAATAACGCACGACCTCCTCGAAGATGGACCCTATCCGGTTATATCGGGTATCGGCCTGATTAATTTTATCAATGATCACTTTGTTATCTCCTTCGAACCTCGTCTCCGTAAACCTGTTCTCCAGACACCAGAAAATAACCTTCCGAAAAACTATCAGTTCGACAACCATAGGATCATCAATATCAGCAACCAACGCCCCTTTAGCCTAGGGGTGGATTTTTCAGTTATTTCGATTATAACCGGTAACCGCACAGTCGTTTATCGATTAACCGAAAGGACGGGCCCCCAACCGACAACCGACCGAAATAGACTTCGGTTATCCGCACCTCCCCCAGGACCAAAATCATCTCGTCCAGCCTCCAATAGCCGATCAAATTTCGGTTATATCGGTTACCGGTTAGTGGATAGCCGGCCGGTTATCAGTTTAACCGTTCTGTAAACCGAAAACCGAACCTCCACCTCTACTTTAGCCAATACGACCCTCCCTCCTTGGTTCATAATAATCATTCCCAGTGCATAAACACGGTAACCTAGAACTCCAAGAGAAATATATTTTTGTGTAGGCAATACTATAATTGATTGAAGGAACCTTACTCTTAGCAAGATATTAAGAAAGGAAACGATCCAAACAGTTCCAGTTACAATCTCCCCCCCCCCCCCCCCCCCCCCCCCCCCATCTCTTGTGCTGGATAAACAACCTTTGCTGTATTACTCTCAAAAGGAAAGAACGATGTACAACGTTGTTGAGCTGATCAATCTTCCCTTCTTCTCTTGTTTCCCACTTGCTTTTGCTGTTCACACAGCAGTGTTCTTCCTCTATATAGAAATCTATACACAAACAGAAACCAAGAAAACTAAAACAACAAAAGTAAACAGGACCAAGCCTTTTGTCCTGTGATTGGGATGCAAACTGAAAAATCACACCTTCCCACAAAGTAAAAAAGAAACAAAACGCTATTCAATAGAAAATCAGCCAGTTTCAAGTTTCTCCCTTAATAGGAAGCAACCAACTGTTGATCATCACCATCATGGCTCTGTGATTGCTCTTCCAAAGCCAACAACTTTGCAAAAACTCCAACCAATGGAGCTGTATTATAAGTGCAGGCCTCAGTCTGCATGAAATTCTCTCTACTATCAACAAACTTGTCCTCAAAATCAGGCCCTCCAACCAGTGCCCCAACCAGCAAGTTAGGGTTTGGATCTTGCCTGCCATACCAATTATCATACCCTTGTGTGCACCCAATGAACCCTTTGTTCTCTCTGTAAGAGACGATCGAGGCGCCCCTATGGTGAACCCTTTGTGGGTAATTAGAACCATAACCCACCATGTAGCTCATGTTCATAGGGTTCGAACCCAGGATGTAGTCGACTTGGGACTTGGCGAATCGAAGGAGCTCTTCGTGCCTTACTGTCCCTTCACGACAATTGAGGTTTTGATTTGATTCTCGGAGGAAATCGGAGTAGAATGTCAGGAGGAATGCAGCTGTAGAGACATGCTGCATGTTGTTCCATTCTCTTATGTATATGAGACCGCCTGGGGTGTGGACTACGCTGGTGTTGTTGCTGTTGTGCTTGTTGAGGATTGAACATAGGTAGAACTCTGCCTTTGATCTGTATTGTAAGAGTGTTTGGCTGTGTTGTTTGTGCTTTGCTTCTCCAAGCAACTGCAAATATTTTTCAAGTAATGGAAATGTTAGGTACTTGGATATCTGTTCATTGTGTTTCAATATTCAGTAAAGTCTGCAACTTTTTTCAATCATCTCTACCAAACAGAAAGCTTGTGACAAGAGATTTTCAAGCCAGACACCAATCCTAATGAAATTATTGCTAGCTCATCAAGTAGTGGGAACCACAAGCAAGCAAAAGTGGGAGCCACTTCAGAAGGAAAGAACCAGACAAGGGTTGAAAAATCACCACCACAGCTCCTCTTTCTGCTGCAAAACCCATATGCTAGCTACAGGCAACTGCTATAGCATGCTTTCTACCTCTTCCCCCACAAATTTCTCCTCTTTTATGGGAAGAATAGCAGTCAAGTCAAGGCACAGATCACTGGTTAAGGTGAAAAACTTTATCCCTCTCCCCTCACTAGTTCCATGCCATGTGGCACTACTTTGAGCAAGAAGCCAAGACCCAATCAAAAGGTCAAAAGTAACTGCCCCGGTACCATTGCCATAGCCTCCCAAAGGCCAAAGCACACCACATATCATCTTACACTTTGCACATGGTTTTATGCTCCAAGATAGGAAAATGTCATATTCATTTCCATGTTGAAAAACAACTATTGTTTATCAAATTCCATTCCCCCCCCCCCCCCCCCCCCCCTCTATTCCTTAATTAGGGCTCACTCCATCAATCACCTTTATAAAACAAAGGAAACTTTTCCTTCTTGTGGGTTCAAAACTACAACACAACACACATGACACAACAACATTATAATTTCATCTTTGAATGAGTGCAAAAGTGAAATCTCAACCAAGATTTGAGTAAGGGAGTCTCTTTCTAACTCTACTACAAGTCTACATCCCCTTCCTTCCCCCCAAACAGAAAATGTGCCCACCTTAGCATTTTTCAATGAAAGGGACTCTCTTAAGAAAAGGCAAAAGACAAAGGAAGCTTTACCTTTGAAGCCATGATTTGAATTCCAGCATATTTAACATCCCAACTGAACTCTGTTATGGCCCAACCAATCCCTCCAAAGCCATGAGCATTCTCAATCACATACTTCAAATACTTCTCATTGTCGGTGGCTCTGTACAGCCACATAGCACCCCACAGTAGCTCGTCCATGAACCCACTCACTGAAGTGTAGTAACCCTTCACTACTCCCAAACTCGAATCGTATTTGCCTCTGTACTTGTCCCCAAACTCGAACAACTGGTACAATAGAAGAAAACAAGCCCAAAACTTTCGTCATTTTAATTGAGCTCAAGACAAGAAATTAGAACTGTTTTCTCTAAGGGGAATTTGATCGAGCACCTGCTGAGCATGGTGCAAGAGCAAGTGTGAGTAATGTCGGTTGGTGGATTTGAACACCATCGACGCGGCGGCCATCGCCGCTGCTGTTTCTCCGGCGAGATCCGACCCGGGATTGTTCTCGTCGATCCGATAAGCTCGCCGTGACGTCGTCATGTCCTCCGGCCTCTGCCAGCAGTAATGGTCGGTGTCCCCGTCGCCCACCTGTAGTAAGAAAAGGATTTCAGTTACCGCAACGGTAAAAAAAGTTCAAACTTTCACCTTAAAAACTGTCCTTTTCCTACAAAAGGAAAGTAAGTAAGTAAAAAAAACAAACCCCCATTGACCGTACCTCTGCCCAGAGAACATTCGGACTAGTGTGAGCCTTGATGAAATAATCAGTCCCCCATTTGATAGCTTCCAGCGCGTGCTCCAATTCGCTGGCGGCGGCAATCTGTTGCCGGGACTCGAGAACACCCCACGACAGCATTGTGACGGTGAAGGCCATCGGGAGGCCGAACTTCACGTGGTCGCCGGCGTCGTAATACCCTCCGACCAAATCCACCTGTACGTAAATAAATTAAAAACAGAGCATTCCAATCAAAACTCAAAACCCACAAAAAAATTAAAAAAACAAAAAACAGAGCTTTTAGTGTTTCATTTGTACTTACGCCCTGCTCCAAGCCGTCGGTGAGGCCGGAATGGTCGCGCCAGGAGATTCTCTGGTTGTACGGCAAGCGGCCGGAGCGCTGGGACTCGAAGTACAGGAGGCTCTTCGTCAATGCGTCGGCGTAGTCGATAGCCAGAGACTTGGGGGTGAAAAATGTGAGGAGAGTGAAGAAGAATAGAGCTATGCGGTTTTCCATGGCGGGTTTTGGTTCTTTTTCTCCCGCCTTCTTAGCTGTGGAAGAGGGGAGAGAAGAAGAAACAGGGGAGAAAAGGAAGCAGAAGAAAGGGCAGAGCGGTGTGGAGTATGTGCAGTGTTGATTTGAGCTCTTTTTATTTGAAATTGATTTGATTATTCATTTTATTTTGAATTAATTTCAATTTTTTTCCAGAAATGAAATGAATTGAATTTGGGAAGGAGAAAATTGGCTGACTTAATTCTCATTTACTGAGGTTGTTATGTTTGCGGGCATGGAGATAAAGACGAGCATGTGAGATTCACAGGAGAAGGAGGAACTGGTTTTTTGTTTTGGCCTTTCGATTTCATTTTCATGGGTCTCTTTTTTTCTTTAACTTTTCTTTGGGTTTTCATTTGCTTTGAACTTGGAATTGGTGGGAATTTTGTTTGGTTGCTTATTAGTGATGCCGTGATTTATGCAACAGTTTACTCTTTTTTTTTTTTTTTTTTTGTGTTTGTTTGGGGGAGAACGACATTGATGGCCAATAAATACCGGTGATATATATGGGTTCGTGGCCTTTTCCCATGGAAGATGATTATAAGTCTACCTAGTAAAACTAGGACTGATAAACGGTTCTTCTATTAGTGGTGTAACAGATAATCAAATTGTAAATAGTGGTTAATAGTTACATCAATAACCGATTAAGCAGGAAACGATTTGTTTCTGGTAGTCAAATTTAGCTAATCACAATATCTACCGCGAAAATAGTATGTAAACCAACAAGGTAATGAATGCCATCGACAAGCAAGATCAGTGGCGGAGGCAACAATTTTAACCACCCCTGTCCTCTTTTCATAACTTAAATATATAAGTATCTAATTGATAATTATTTAATAAAAAAATTAAAGTTAATTATATCCAAATAATTCATTCATAGATTAAAAATAACCGACTATACAATCATAGTTTTCAGAAACAACCACGAAGGGATTTCATATTGTGAAAGAAAACACAAAAATATTCTTTGTCTACACTCTACACTATTAAATAACTCTCTTTCAATATATCTCACTAAACAAGCATTAGCAAACTAGTCGCCAAATCGACTTGGAAACTTGTTCTTAATGTAGCTCAAAGCTGAAAATGCTCTTTTTACACTTGTAGTTGTAATTGGTAGAATCAAAACTAGTGGAATTGTCGTTGTCGCTAGACAATTTCAGGGTTGTAGGGGAAAAGATCGAATACGCATAAAGAGAAAAAGAGATCTGATTAGCTCTTTATTGCAATTTGAATTTTGTTTATAGTATAATAAATTAATTTTATATCTTAGAACAAATAATGAGTTGTGTTGTAGTGACAAAATACTCTAATACTACCTATTAGTGTTGTATTCCCTCACCAATATAAATATATATGGCGTATTTTTGTTTCTCTGAAATTTATCCCTATCGCGGGAGAAGGACCAAAGACAAGCCTCCGCCAATGAGCAAGATGGCATGAATACTTGTTCTCAGAATGTCTGGATAATTCATGCATGTTGATGATCGCTCCTATTAGTGATCTGGAGCAACTGAACTGCACAATGTGAGTCAATTTGGACTCTACCAAGTCAATGCCCAACATATATACCATGCCAACTGGAGGCGGGCTAATATTAGGTGACTAAAGGGTTCTTTAGTCACATGACTAAATCAATCTCAGTTATTAAACCTCATTAAAATTTAATGTTTCAGATCTATCTAGTTTAATGAAGGGCAAGGTGATAATTACATAATTAATTTATTTAACAATTTAAAAAAACATAGCTCTCTTCTCCCCCGTCCGCGCGACCGTTTCTTTTTCTGAGGAATTCTCCCGGTGGCAGGATTTTTGTGTCCCCAACCCGCGCCACCATTCCTTTTCCAAGAGAATTCTTCTGCCGGTGGGATTTGTGTCCCCAACAAGCTTCTGTGCCCTCCAACAGCTACGGCCAGAGAGATTTTTTGTTGGCTGGATGAAACTTTCCGGTGACCAACGACGGCAGAGAGGATTTTCTGGCGATAGTGTTGGATTTGTGATGTTTGTTGACCTATTTTGTAATGTTTGTATCGATTCGGTTTGTAATGTTTGTCATTTTTAGTGATATTTTGTACGATTAGTATGTTTCGTACTGTTTGTCAGTTTATTTTGTAATGTTTGTAAGCTTTGTTATTTTGTAATATTTGTCGGTTTCTTTTGTAATGTTTGTAAGCTTTGTTATTTTTGTTCACCATTTTTATCATTTTTGTCAACCATGTTTGTAATGTTTTTTATGTCTAAAAAATAACCTGGTTGACTTTTGAATGAAACTCCCCTATATAGGGATGAAGCCTCCAAAGTCAACCAGGGTGTTTTTCCTGTTTGTATGTTTTGTCGGTCTAGTTTGTCATTTTTGTTCACCATGTTCGTAATGATTGTATGTCTAAAAACAACCGGGTTGACTTTGGGAGGGAGCCCCTCTATTTTGGGATGGAGCCTCCAAAGTCAACCTGGTTGTTTTTTCTTTTTGTATGGTTTGTATTGTTTGTTGGTGTAGTTTGTATTGTCTGTACAGTTCATATGTTTGTAATGTTTGTAAATCTGTTTGTATGTTTTGTTTTTCTAGTTTGTAATGTTTATAAGTACGGTTTGCATACTTTGTAATTTTTCATAATAACCAAATTACCCCTCCCACTAATTAGAAATCCCTTCCCAGTTTTTAACCGTTGGATTGAAGTGTCCAGATCTAATGCTAAGAGGGGCTTAGTCAAGTGACTAAGGACCCCTCTCCCCCCCTCCCTAGTCATGGGATCCGCTCTCAACTGGAGGCATTCAATAGCTCCTCTAAACTCTGCCCGGGTAATGGAATAACTACCCATGTTCATTACAAATGTAGCAAGACAACATCCGCGGTGGTCTCTAATCAGGCCACATGTTGAAGCTAGGCCTGCATTTGCATGGTGGTACTCATTACAATCAATCTAGTCAAAATCCCGATTTTACAATCTTTTCAATGAGTTTTGATCCTGATTTTACTATAAAATCTTTGAACCTTAAACCCCCATAAAATCCTGATTTAAAACTGTAAAATCCTTAAAATCTATTATTTTTAGGATTTTGTACGATTTCAAGGTTCATGTCAATTGAAGCAAAATCATGCAGGTAAAGTTAGGGTTTTCCCATGAACCTGGTCAAGTTCACTTCCCCCATCTAGGGATGGCAACTTTGCCCATACCCATGGGTTTCTTACTATCCAACCCAATTGGGTTGGGTATGAAATCCAAATAAATGGATATGGGTAGAGTTTGATGGGTTTGTACCCATACCCATTTACCTTGGGTTGAGTTGGGTTTATATCAAATGGATTTGGGTTTGTACCCATGCCCAAATACAAATTACACTTTGGTACCCAAACTTAATAGATATGCATAATTAGTACCTAAATTTAATTTTTTTTTGCATATAAGTCCTCAAAATATCGATGGAAAATTACGTTTTGGTACCTAAAGTTTTTTGGTCATACATTTTGGTACCTAAACTTTTCAAATTTTACAAATAGGTCTAATTTTTGCATGTGTAGTTAAAACACCCTCAAGTAAATGGATATCCATATCCAACCCATACCCATTTAGATTATGGAAGCCCCAAACTCAAACCCATCTATAAACCCCCAAATCCATATGCACTTCACCCATACCCAACCCATTATCAATGGGTCTACTTGGATTTGGGTATAATTACCCATGGGTGGGTAATTTGCCATCCCTACCCCCATCCCAATACCATGAACAACATAACCTTAAACCGATAGGTGACCCTCAATTTATGTTTTTTTTCTTCCTCTTCCGCATGCTGACACCCAACCTCTTCCATCAATGATTTCCTCCACCCTCACAACTAGCACAGAGTTTCTTCCCCACTTCCCTCACAATTAGCCCAATCCCCATTCTCTTATAAGCTTTTGTTTGTCTCTCTGAAACCTTCAACACCACCATCCCTGACCTTTTATCAATCAAGAAGGGAATGCATAAATCAATGAATTACCTTTTCCAGATGATGGTTATCAAGGAAATATGTTCAATGGTGAAAGTACTTCAAGTGATCCTAAGAATAATAATGATATTATTGCTCAAGCAAATAGACAAGGATTCTATGACGATGTGAGTGAGGGTGACGGTAAGGATGATGATGTGTGAGGGATGTTAATGTTGATCCTAACGATCTTATGCGATTTTCTATTCTTAGCTATGAACTAGATTAAGTAATTCGTATGAGGTGTCAGGTTGCTTATTTGTGTGTTTATGTTATTTACAAGAATAAATCAATAAATTTATTTGCGTTATTATTACTAAAAGGAGTTTTAGTGTTTATTTTAATATGAATCTTAAAATCTTAAGATTTTACGATTTTAATCTACGATTCCAATGTTACCTCAGTTTTCGATTTTACGTAAAATCTCAATTTTACTGCATTTATTAGAATTAACCAAACCTCGAGACGCTAGAGAAAACCTTCAGCTGTCACAATCTTGCATGCAAAGACACAATCTTTTGTGATCTTCCAGAAAGACCAATAGGTAACCTAAAACTCCAAATTGGTGTGATGTTTTCGAATATACCGTTGTAGAAAATCCAAGAAAAGTTCGGTGCTCAGAACAATGGATGTTTTGTAACCAAATTAACCTGGAAAACGAACAATCTTGTAACACATGCATGACCATCTCTAAATGACAATTGCACGTCGGACAGATAAATTATCAATTTGATTCCATATAATACTAGTTTTTTACCCCGCCAGTTGGCCGGAGAAGTTATTTTATTATTTATATTAGTTAAGTTATCTACATGTTTGAACTTTCTCTGATCATAAATCATGCCGTATCCCATTTAGGATCGTATATAAATTTTTTTCCATCAAGACGCTCAAATTTATTATCTTATACAACATATATCAATTCATGATTCTCGAGTTTGTACGAACTCTCAGCCAATTAATCAGAGTTCAAATTATTGAAAAAAAATACTTGATTACTGGATAAATTATGTTTATCCAATTGAAATTTGACACACATCGCATCCCTTATAATGATTAAATTCTCTAAACCTCACTCATTTTTATTTTTGATGTTCATGAAGTCTTTGTATAGCAACTTATTATAATTGCTAATATTTTAAGTTTGTACTATCCCTCAACCATGCCTTTGTCTAGATGTTCGTTTAGAATCTGAATCCAAGGATTCATATACACTATCGAAGGTTCTCATCTTAACATGTTCCTTCAATGTATAAATTTTCAACTATTTGAATGTCCATTCGCTAAAATTTCTTTATATTTGGTGTTCTTAGAACAAAATTTTCATTACTTATATTAATAATTGTAAAGTGTGTATACGACAGACAAATATTTCAGGTGCATTCAAAATTATGTATTCCTTGAATAATTAACTTATAATTTTTAAAAAAAATATTTTGTAGCAAAATTTAAAAGTTCATAGAAACATTGTGGCTTTTTACATGTATTTAAATGATTGCATGTATTGTAGACACATCTATTGTTAATATCTAAACATATATATATATACAGAGAATTTATTTTACTTTCACCACTAATTGTTTGAACCTAACTGAGTGTAGGAGTGAAGTTCACGAGAACGGGTCGAGAAGAACGAATGGTTTGGTTAAGTAGGGACTTGGAGACAAATGGAAGGAAGAATTGGGTTGAGAGATTGTTTTAGTGAGAGAAGTTCGTTCTTTCTAGAGATAGAGTGTAATTCTCCAAAAATCCGATCCCCTCACCCACCGGAGTAAATGTCGTATTTATAGGCTACATGGTGGTGGGTGAGTTACATGATGGTACGATGACGTGACCACTACGGTACGGTGACATGACCACTGACATGTCAGGGACATAGACCATATCCCTATGGGTGACAAGACCTTTAGCCATGACTATACCTAGGACTATGATGTTGACTACCCTTTGGGTGACACGGCGCCGCTTCTAATACTTCTCGGCGAGGACCCGCGCTTGTCCAAAGCGCCGTCGTTTGGCGTCTATGCGCGGTCCCTGGGGCCGGTCTTTACGCTCGCGCTTGGATCTGGCGTGACTCGCGTGTTGACTTTGACGTGAGCATCCTTGGGTATTTCTTCGGCGTGTTGAGATCCGAGTCACATCCCCCAACAATTGCCCCCTATCAGGGGGTATTCCGCGAATGCCGCCTGTTTGCTCTTCATGCGAGCGACTCGGATCTGCGCGATTCTGCCTGTTGATTATGATTGGCGCGATCTGGGTAAGTTAGTGCCTGCTTTGGTCTTCGCGTGATCGTCGGTGGCGCGCACAGCTGGTACATCCTTGGCGCGATTCTCGTCCATTCGAGATCTCCGGGATTGGTTGTGCGCGCCGTCTTCGCGTTGCCCCCCATCGGTGATATTCCGCGAGTGTCCGAGATCTCCTGGGTTGGTTGTGCGTGACGCTTTCTTAGTTGGGATTGGTTTTGAGCGAGTGTCCGAGATCTCCTGGGATAGTTGTGCGTGACGCTTTCTTAGTTGGGATTGGTTTTGAGCGTGTTCTCCTTCGTGGGCGTATCCTGCCCCCCAGGCGCTGTGCGGAACCTATGACGTCAGCGGCTAGTGCCTAGGATGGGTAGGTTGCCACGTGTCTGTGTGCGGTTGTTCCGTTTTGGCGGCCGTTTTGAAATTTGAAAAGGCTCTGACGGTTGCGATTCTCGATGCAACTTTAACCCTTCAGCTTTCCGTTGTCGAGTATAAATACCTCCTCTCTGCCTAGAAGTCGGAACCCACTTTGCTTTCGTGAAAGAAAAATTTCGTTTGTTGCTTTGTGCTTTCTTGCGGTCTCTGGGATTCCTCTCCTTCTTCTACAACCTCGATTCTCATCTTGCTGTTGCTGATTAGAAGTATTACCATGGATAGCACCAACATCAACGAGACCGAGGTCGTGCAGGGCGAAGAAGGTAATCCCTCTTCTTTTTCACGTGTTTCTACCGATCCTTCGCTGGATCTGGATGATTCTGGGCATGGGGATGACGGCGGAGCCGACGGTGGCGATGTAGTTTCGGCGGCGGCGCCGTCGCTCGACGTCGATGCAGGCTGGGGCCCCGATGAGGGGATGATTGCGTCCGGGAGTGGCCAGGCGGGTGCCGGTGCGCGCGGGGTCTTGATTATCCGGCGGCCTCGCGGCGGTGCATCTGGGGTGGCTGATTCGGAGAGGCGCGAAGGGTCTGATACTCAGTCGGAGCCGCGCTGCACCGCTCGTGTAACTGAAGCGATGAGCCGATTAGGCTTCCGAGGTGTGGGCGCGGCTTACAACGTGATTGACTGGGCGGAGATGTGGGGCGATCAGCGCGCGCCCAGTGACAATCTTCTTAGGGGGCCCGATCACGCATCCATTTACGGGTACCAGGACGTGATGGACATAGTGCGTGGGTTAGGCTTGCCCCCCCATTGGGAGTACGCGGTTCCGTCCGCGCGAAGTATGGTTGGGAACTGTCCCGCGGGCTGGTTTGGGGTGTACACCGAGTACTGGGTGATGGGGTTTAAGTTCCCCATCGACCCTTTGCTATGCGCTTTGTACAGGCGCCTCAATTGTTCAGTTGGGCGTCTCTCCCCTTCAGTGATAATGCACGCGAGCTGCCTTCGTCTCGCGTGCAAGAGGCTTAAGATTGAGCCAACTTACGGCTTATTCCGAAAGTTTTATAAGATCAAGGATCCCACGAGGAGGAGCGACTGCCTTTCTATCAAGCGGCGTGACAAGAGACCTGAGGGTTTCGTGTACGGGTCTCCCAAGTTGAAAAAGACTTGGTTTGAGCGCTTCTTTTATGTTAAACCGGCCCCAGGGGAGTGGGCAAGTGAATTTATGGCGGAGCCGACCGAGTGGAAGAAGGGCGGCACGCATGGGTATGAATCGGACCTGGGGCATTACGCTGGGCTCGATGATGAATACGAAGCGTGCATGCATCAGAAGTTCAACTTATACGATGGCGGAGTCCGCGAAGCTTGTTTGGAAGAACTTTTTGCCGATGGTTAGTTGTGCTTCTTTCATTTTGCATTCTATCATATTAACCGCCCTCTTACGGCTTATTGGCGCAGGTGTTGATTTTTCCAGCTTGGCGAGTATGATGTCCGTTGATGACATTGTGAAGGCACCTCGCGCTGGGAAGAAGAAGGGAAAAGAGGGCGCGCGACCCAAGAGCGCGAAGAGGAAAGAGGTTGAGCAGCCTGTGGTTGCAGAGAAGTCTGCAAAGGCTGCTCCTGCGCGAACAACGCGACAGCAGCCGCTTGTGATTGTGGAGCCCACGACCCAAGTGGACAG